GTGTTGCTCTGCTGGCCACAGCATCAGAAATCCAGACAGATTGGCTCTTGGTTTGTTGTTTATGAGTTTAGGAGCCTTAAATTCAGAGGTTTTGTTTGGTGCTTATCTTTAATCAAGAGTTTATTCGAAACTTTGCGTGCTCAGCTTTCCTGATAATACTGCAACAGAGTCAGCTCCTTCAAAAAAAGGTTGATCCCATCATTCCTCCTTTCCTGCAGCAGTTACTGTTTTCTTTTTGTTTGTCAGTTTGGTTCTTTCCTGATGAATTTGATGGTGAAATGGATTAACGTAAAGTCAGGGTGTACTACTAATGCTGAGATGCCTCCTTAACTCTCCCTGGGTTACATCTGTAAATTAGAAATTACAGAAATATAGAAATTGCATAGTGGCAAGGATTAACACCAGCCCTTGAAGAGAGCCTCATTAATTACCAGGACATTGTTAGAGTGGCCTCTCCTTCTCCTCTAATAAAGACTGTGAGGTCTTTTGGGGTCTGTGCAGTGCACTCAGCCAACAGTGCACACATGGAGCCCAACTAACCAGGTAGCTCCTCTGTATGCACAAAACCATTTGCATTCGCAAAATTGTTTGAATCCAGCCCTAACCTGGGATGTTCAGTATGACTTTACTGGATGCTTGAGTTGATTAAATACCAAACTGGGAAGAAACAGGAGACAAAATTCCCAAATCCATCCAGAATTAAAAAAAAAAAAAAAAAAAAAAAAAGAGAGAAGAAAAAAAAAAGAGAAAAATAATAATTTTAAAAAAGTGTAACAATGGGTGCTGAGTCTGTTTTGAATATCTGTCTCTGTTCATCTCCATTAGAGTTATGCAGACTTTCTATAGCTGATCCCAGACCAGAGGACCTTAGGATTTTGTTGTAGACTCCAGCACCAAGCTAGGTTGTCTGACAGATTTGTTTCATCTGCATGATCTATACCTGACATCTCCTAAATGAATCGCTACATCCAAAAGCTTTTATCTCAGGAAACTCTGGAACCAGAGTGCAGTCTGTGTGCCCCCGTGGGAATTGAAAATATCTCCTGTTTTATATGATCAAACTGTGTTCTGCTGCCCGTCTTCAACACGTTGGGTTTGGATGGTGATGAATCTTCCTCAGTAGGGTAAGGCTTGTGGAACAGGACATTGCTGTATGGCCTGCTTGTTTCATTGGGACTAATCTGAGAGTTTCTGTCTTTCTTTCCTGCAGTGAGAAAATGGAAATAATGTTTCTTCCGGCCTTCTTCACACCGATAGTCAGTGTAATAAAGGAACATTATTTCAATTTTCTCATTGCAGAAAATAGCCTCAGGTAAAAGTTGGAGCAGAAGTGAAAAGCATTGATATTTATGCTTTTTTTGTGTGTTTATTTTCTTTTTAAATTTAATGTATCTTTTGAAATTGTTTCCTGTACCCCTAGAGCCAAGCAGGACATGTGCTCAGGGTGCCCATGTGTGATGTAGGCACCCAGCTTAGCTCCTTCTCCAGGCACTGCACTTTTCCGTGCCCCTTGATGAGCCAGAATCAGTGCTTGGAGATGGAGATGCAAGAGGTGGAGCAGCACATACCTGGAACATGGTCCCAGCAGATGCCCATGTAGAAGATACAAACATGGCTGCTTTGCTGACTTTTTCTCAGGTCCAAGTCCCTGGGTGATGCTAACGGTGCTCTGGTTTGCAGCATGACACTTGAGCTGTTCCCAGGGTTAAATGCTTTTCAGGTAACTGCACTTGGCTACTCCTTTGAGTTTTTCTTCTCTGAAAACCTTTTGGCCTCTGAACCAAGATCAAAATCAGCAGGGGAAAGAGGTTCCTTGTGCTGATGTTTGGGACAGTGTGTCCAGCCACATGAGCCAGTGCCAGCCTCAAGACAGGATCAGTCGTCCTCCACTAATAAGAAAGTCCTCCTGCCCTCTCTTTCTGCTCAGAAAATTTTGTCTTAAATTTCCCTCAGACAAAGACTTAATTCTGCTCTTGCTGCCTGCAGTTTCAGTTGTGCCTTCTGTGCACTGCTCAAAATTGCAGAGCTGGTGCTGTCGTTAAGGAAAAAGAAATGTATCCCAGAATAATAAAAGCTGGAACAAACAAATTGTGGCAGTGTATTGTGAGTGCCCAGGTCTGTTCAGAGCAGGACGCCAAGTCCCGGCTCAGTGGAGCAGAGGGGACTGGCATCAAGACTAGCTATAGACAAGTGGGACACATCTCCACCGTGAGTTAAGAGCTCAGATGCTCTCCCACAGCTGCCCTTACTGGTTTGCTACTGACAAGTCAGTCCCTGGGCACCATACGTGGAAGAGCATTCCCAATGTTAACCCTATTTTGGAGGAGAAGAGCCATATGGCCACGAGCTCCACATGGGAAGTGGTACCCGTGGCTTCGGGTGCTGTGTTGCAGAGCATCCTTGGGAGGTGGGACCCAGCCATGATGCTTTTCCCCAGGAGGGAGACTTTATTTGTGAGTGCAAACATGTAATTCAAATCCCAAATTCCATAACATAGAGTATCCAAAGAAACATATAGGAGCACGCATACTTCAACTCATACCTTGTACCCAGGGGTGCCATTGACACTGTGAGTAAGCAAGTGGCTGTAAACTCACTGATGGCTCCTCTTGAGTCCTTGGATTAAGCTCCAGTTTGCAATGTCATTTAAGAGGTTGAAAATATTTTCCGTGTGTTGAAAGAAAATTATAAACAGATTGAGCCTGGGTACACTAGATCCACTGAACTCAATTTTACCAAGAAAAGCTTTTGGTTATAGAATGAGGCATAAGGAGAGAGAGTTGGGATGGAGGACAATGTTGTCACTTTAATGGAAAAATGCATACAGAGGCATACTCTCTGTGAACAGGCAAGGAGAGAGTCCTTGTGCAGGAAAGCACCTGGTGTAAATCAGTGCCTACTAAAGCAGTCCATCACTTGAATATAACCAAAGCAACTGTGTGAAATTGCGCAGCAGCACGCATGGCGTTTTCTTGGGGATATGTGCTGTGTTCAGGCGTATTAATTACTGCGCGGGCTCAATTTTCAGTGCAATCAATCCATGGGAAACAAAAGGGCTGCAGGGGAAATATAAAAAGACAGCCAGCTAATAAGAGCCAGATTCGGTAAAACTATCTGCCTACTCTGAATGGTGAGGTAGAGGTTGTGCTTGTTCTCCCTTGGCAAGGCACGTGAGGTTGTGGTGGGGCATGCAAAGGGTGTAGGGTTGAGAGGGGCTTGGAGCAATGTCCTGTGCATATATATATAAATATATACATAGTTATGTACACAAGGCACAGATCCTCTTGTGGGAAGCTAGGTAAGAAAGGATTGTAATTCAAGGTCTTCTGCAGAGTGTTCAGGGTGTGCTCTCAGTGTTGTGTGATGGCACTTCTGCCAGAGCATCCTCTACCTGCAGTCTCTTTCTCTGCCCTGCTATGAATCACGGGCTCATGGATTCAGTAGGGTACCAGGGGCTTTCCCTGCCCCACTGTCATCCTGGCATGGCTACACCAGCCCCTCTCTGCTGGCAGCAGGCATCAAGCCCCACTGATACAACCATGGGGCTCCCAGGTGAACTTCATGTTTACTGCAGAACTTCAGTGTAATGCCAGTATATTAGTAGACCATTTGGTCTGTTTGCCTAGCACTTAATAGGGGGATTATCTTTTTTTTTTTTTTTTTCCCTTCTCAGATTGCTTTTCAATTTTGAAGTTGAATGTGCTCATTTTTAGTGGTAGCTTTCTCATGCATTCAGGCTCCAAACTTCCCTAGGAAGTGACTTCATGGCATTATTCATGCAGATTATTGCCTGGAGTGGCTGCTGCTGAATTACCTAGTGTTCATATAATGGCAAACTCGCAGTCCATATGTATTTAATGACTGTAATCATTTATTATTTTCCCTTTATTAGGTTTGTTTTTAAAGAAAGTTTTACAGTGCTATTTATGATATGCTAAGTGGTGCAACTTGCTGAAAAAACATATCACATTCATTTTATTTTTTAATAGGCTTTGCTTGTTAAAATGGAAATCTTTTATTTACCCTAATAGGGCAGTTTTTTGCTGACAGTTTTATTATTTCAATTACTCAGACATTTCTTTCCTCTTTTGTTTCCCCCAGTATTCCTCCAGGGAGTTTTAATGTGTCCATTCTTTATTTAAGATTGGGTTCAGAATGTGTTATTTCTAGCAGGGCAGAGGAAAAGCATAATATAGCAGACATTAAATAGTGACATGTCAAGGTTTTATTTTCTTTCCTCCCTGAGTAGTGGAATCCTTTCCCCATCTGTGTCATCTGGTGATTAATTGCATTCATAATCTGTGCTCCTTCATCAATAACCGTCTGCTATCAATGCCAGGCAGAGAGAGGCTGTGCTCAAGTAAAACGCATTTGATAAAGGGTTTGTGGCTGCTGATAAATGAACATACATTTATGGGTAAATACTAATTTACTAATTCACTAATGCTCTATAGGCAGTGAGTACTTTTCACTTGCCCAGGGGGAAAGTGGAGTGGGACCGTGCCTCCAACCCAAGCCTTGGTCAGTATATCATAACCTGACCCCCAAGAGCTCATACTGGTGGGGAATGTCACAGCCTCCACTGGGCCAGGTGGGCAAGGGCAGATTGAATTCACCTCTACTACCTATTCACCTTTGCTATGTGAATTCAGTGTTTGCTCCCCTTGGCTCTTACTGAGGTAGAGAGTTATGACTTTCATTTGCAAGTCCTAGGAAATCTTTGACCACTCTCTGGTGGAGGGTGGTTTTATTTTCCTTTGTAGCATGGTTATCTCTGGTTTAGTTCTGTTACGTCTTTTATTTGCTCTTTGCTACTCTTCTGGTCCAGTCCTCAGACCACAACCAAATACTTGCTGGGAAATTTGGAGAGTTCCTGCAGCTCTAAGTGGGTGTGTGCTTCTCCTGACAAGTTACTGCTTGGCCTTGGCCATTGTTTAGAGAGGTATAAAGCATCTTCAAAAGCACATCCTCATACCTCTGTATCCTGTTATGTTTTCCAGAGTGTCTGGGGGAGAGCTTTTCGACCGCATCGTTGAGAAGGGGTTCTACACCGAGAAAGATGCAAGCACCCTGATCCGGCAGGTCCTGGATGCCGTCTACTACCTGCACCGAATGGGCATCGTCCACAGGGACCTCAAGGTATGGCCAAGCAGCTTGACTAGGCAGTGTTAATGAATTTTGCATAATTATGCAAGTTTAATGCATCTAAGTCCAATCTCCCCTGGGACTGGCTTTCAGTAATGATTTGCCATAAGAGGGATGTTCTAAGGTCTATGCATCCTTCCATTGTAATTGGTTTTAATGAGGACTCTTGCAATCAATGCTGTTATAGTCAATGGGCATTTTGCATGTATGATGTGGAGAAAAAGGCATTCATTAAAACCCAAAACATTACATTAAGACAAGACACTCAGCTGGGATGTGTTTACTGCTGCACGCTATCTTGTAGATTTGCTGTGCTATGTTTATTTTACTTACAAATAATTAATAGCTAGATATTGTGTGGGAAAGTTGAACACTTTCCTATCGTACTATTTAGTCCAATGTTTCTGGAGACACTTTTCACAGCAAGGATTCTTCTAAGGAGCATTTTGTGACAGTGTGATTTTAAGATAATCGTCCTTCCAGCTATGCCATGTTATCACATCAGAAATCCTCAGCTTTGCTGGTAAAAACCATCACCAGCAACAAACAAACAAACAACATACAAACAAGCAAAGATTATTTCTGTTTTGTTTTCTCTTCATATCTCAAAATGTCATTAAGATAAACAGAAAGGCCTGGATTTCATAATACACAGCTAAAACTTCCTGGTTTTAGCCATCTTAACTAATAAATTAACAGTAGGCATTTGTAAAATATACACATGTCAAAAGACAGCTAAAAATTAAACTAAAAATTCTGTAAATAAAACAACACCACTGCTTTTGCTTTGGAGGATGCTAGAACCAGGAGTTGCCTTGAATGTTGATGCTGTAGTCTTGAACTGTCCTCACATAATGACAGTGGAATTTAGCAAAACAGGTCAAATTATATAAAGGCTGAATGAATATTAAAGTTGTCATGAGCCACAAAGAAGTCTTTCTTTTTAAAAATATTTAAATGCAATTTTAATTAAATTTATTTCAAAGTTATTATTTTATTTCCTATTGCAGTCCGGTATTAAACTGCAAGTTGGCAGTTTTGGCACATCCTCTTAGTGAAATCTGGAGTGCCTGGAACGTGACCTCATCATTTTGCCTTAAGATAGATGAAAAATCATAGTGATGAGAGACATTATTTATTTGCTTTTTTATCTCCTTCAGAACTAGTGCTGATAAGAAATGCTGCTTGGGGTAAAATAACAAATCCTGGGCTTATTCCAAACTGTGAGGCAGCAGGGCCAAAGCAGAGCCCGTTACCACTGTGGCCATCAGCAGCACAGCTCTCTAAGGTGGAGCAGAGCCCAAGCCAGACAGCCCTGGCCTTAATTTGGGAAAAATTCAATGCATGATTTTCCCTCTGCTGATGTGAATCATGGGCCACGCATTTTAAAGAAAAATGCATGGAGGAAAATAATGTTCCCCAAATCAGTGTTTCTGCTTTGGCATTGTGCAGTTTAGTCCTAAAAGTCACAAATAATGTTTAGGAGGTTTTTGTTTGGTTGGTTTGTTTTATATTTTTCTTGGTTGGTTCCTTGGTTGGTTGGTTGTTTCAAGGAGACACCAGTTACTCTTCTTCAGTCTCCCACAGCCATCAAGTGCTGTCCATATTTCCCTTTCATTTCCAGCTTTTACTCTGAAAGACATTAAAACATTCTCTTTTTACTAGAGTTCCTCAGTGCTTCAGTATTGAAGTGTTGTTTAGTTATTTAATGTCCAACTTTCTCCCAAATTCATTTTGCAAGAAGTAACTTCAGACCTCTTTTTGCCGTGGGAGACTTTGGTGGAAGGTCTAGTCTTAATTCAGATATTCCTCTGTATGAACTCTACTCTTCCTATCTGTCTTTTAAGGGGATGCTGTAGCTCTTGGAATCACAGAGTCACAGAGTCAGAGAATGGTATCTCTTATTTTAAAACAGATTAATCTTATTAAAAGTTCCCATAATAAAACATAAAATATTTGGAAATGGAAAGTGGATTAATTTTCAAATTGCTTCAAGAGTTTATTTAGGGACATGATGAATTTAGATCAAACGAATATCATTCTCCAGCAGTATTTTGGGGCAAAGGCTAGCTCTTTTCTTTTTCTTTCTTTTTGTTTGCAAGTGTTTGTCAGTAGCATATCTGTTGTTAAAATGACTCATAAAATATGCTATATGAGGAACACCTGCTGTGAAATTTCTGTTAATGCAAACTTTCCATGATGGCAAAAATAGGAATGGAATAAGGCTTTTTGTGGTTTCAAAATTTCAAGATAACTGCAGGTTTCAAACTGTGATCTCCCCAAATGAAACTCTGGGAAAGAATCCACTCTGTAAAAATACAATCCTTGAAATATCTGTAACAATTATTTATTGCAATTATGTGTTATTCATACACCAAAATAGTACTTGCTGTAGTTAGGAGAAGCAGATCTGTGCTCCAAGTCTCTAATCTCAACAAAGTAGCAGAAGCTAACAAGAGATGGCAGCAGATGAAGTCCAGTGAAGTCCAGCATTGGCAAAAGGAGTGAAAAGCTGGACCAGTTCTGCTTGGTACAAAGCCATCTTGTTAATGCTTTTGGAATTAACCAGCTCATTTTATAAAAAGTGGAATTGATTTAAACAGGTATTAAAAGAAATTTAAGTTTCAAATGGGTGGGTTTCTGGGCTTTGGTAAACATGAGTTAATGGGGAACCTGAGATGAGTCAGTGGAAATAATGAGGAAATAGTTGTTTTTCCCTTAATACCAACTCTACCAGCCCTTCAGCTGATCAATACCAGAGACATTGATTTTCTGTTTAGTTCTACAATTTGGAATTGCTGCCTGCATTTTAGAACCGGTAGGGTTTTCACTGGCTGGAGGCATCAGGGAGAGCACAAAGAGAAAAACTTGTAGTGGAGGGCTCAAGGGATGGCATGAGTTTGGAAAAGGGCTGCTGGTTGATCAGGAAGGCATATAAAGGCCAGCTAATGCACAGGACTTATGAGGTATAAGAAAAAAACATTAATGCTATCACTCTATAATTATTTTTATTTCTATGAGCAGTTATTTCCCTTTTTGCCTCAGTCCCAGCTGGTTCACAGCTGTGGCTGCAGCTTTCCCTTAACTTGTAAATCCTCCATCGTCATCATGTCACATGGATGAAGCCATCACTATGTGGCTTTATGCTGCGACCAGGCAGTCAGAAAGTGCTTTAACCTCTGCTTGAGGTTGAACAGGAACCTCAGAGTAGGTTGGAGGCCATGTCTGCCCCCTTCATTTCATACCCCTTTTTCCAGAGAAGGAGGTTATGGTGAGGGAGAAGAGAAGACAGATGCCAACGCTGCTGCAACGTGATTGCTCCTCCTCATACATCCAAGCTTGGATGTGTCCCAAGGAATTTAATGATGTTGCATGGCCCCAGCTGCTTGTTGCCATTTTCTGGAAACTCACAGCTGAAGCACACAACGGGCTGATAGACAAAATGCATGTGCGTAGGTGTTTGTACCAGCTTCTAGGCAAGAAGTCCACACCAGGGTTATGTTGAAGCATTGGGTATCCATCATTTTTATCGATAAAGACTCGATAAAAATGATGGATACCATGCAGTGTGATGCCTTGCTGTTACCGCCAGGCTGTAAGGGTGCCAGCAGAGGCTGAACATTTTTGCAAGTCCAGATGTTAAGCAGGGGAAAAGCCCCCAAAATTGTGCTCTCACAGCACCTAGTGAGAGGTTTGCTGTAGGATATTCACAATGTATGAATGGAGAACTAGCACATTGGTACATGGAAGTTGGTTGGGCATTCCAGTTTACTTATACTGATGTAAACCACCGGGTCTTTGTGGAGTGGGTCTTGTTTTATCTCAGCATAAACAAGTCACTGTGCTCAGTTTTAAAACATCTTTGTACAACTATGTTAACTCTAAAGGCATTTCCTCTTTCATAACCATTGATGTCCAATGGAAAAAATGTAAAAATTGTCTTCACATCTACTGTTTTCCTTTTTCATTTCTTTTTTTCTTTTATTTTCTCTTTCATTTTCTTTCTTTTTTATTTTCTTTTCCCTCTTTTTTTTTTTATAAAAATTTTTCCTCTTTTTTCTTTTCTTTTGGCATGTTGAACACACCTCCCGAGTAAGAGATAAGGATTTGTTCATATTTGGGGTGCCAAAGGAGAAGTACATGATGACAGACAAGTTACTCAAAGCTCAAGGTTTCGGCTTCTCCCATAAGTCACCACAAAGAAGTCTGGAGAGGTTCTCCATATGGATTGTATGAACAAATCTGTAGGATTTATGGGGACTGAATGATGTTAGTGTATGGTATAACTAAGGATTGTATTGAACATGAAGCATTAGGCCAACACGTGCTGTTACTGGATTTATACATTCAAACCCCACTTTGCTTATTCTTCTTTCTAGCCTGAGAACCTGCTTTACTACAGCCAGGATGAAGAGTCAAAAATCATGATCAGTGACTTTGGATTGTCAAAGATGGAGGGCAAAGGAGATGTGATGTCCACAGCCTGCGGGACTCCTGGCTATGTTGGTAAGAGGTTTGGTTATACCGTCCATCCATTCCTCCCAGCTACAATACAGAAGCATGGTGAAAATCAAGGTGGTTACAAACAAACAAACAAACTTCTTTTCTAGTACCAATATGTAGTGCACAGGAGATTTTACAGGTGTTTTCTAGATCTACAGATTTCAGAAGTTGCTGGTGTTGTGTCCTGTGTACTCTTCTCTCTTGAGTTCCAATTTTGCAGTCCAGCTCAGGGTTTGTGGGATTAGCTTTCATTTCTTTACAAAAGGATTTTTCTTAAAGCATCTGCCTGTACCTAAATTAAAAACATGTGAAGAATGTAGTTAAATACCTTGATTCTGCAAACACCTATAAAACCCAGACGCTTCCCATAATGTAGCATATAATTTTAATCACAAAGAATAGTGTGTCGCAGATTCCCCTGACAGAAGACAGTAAAACGAAAGAGCTACAATTATTCAGACATGTTCAGCCCCACTAAGTTACTGTCTCTTTGATATAATATGTAAAAGCTTTTTAGACCCATGAACCTTTCTTGGTGGTATCAATTTATTTCCAATCACATATATAGTTCAATATTTTGTCCATTCAGAAGTGATTGTACCAGGCTACTGATTAGGAGCACACTTACCAGCATCCTAATATGCAACTGAATATGAAAAATATGTGGCAGGTGATGACAGGGTCTGTTTGAGGAAACACTGAAAGGTTCACTTCATGCACTGGACATCCAGCAAGCTAGTGTTTCTTACAATACCTAGACAGCCAGTGAGGGGGTAAAATTAATCTTAGAATCACAGAATAGTTTGGGTTGGAAGGGACTTAAAGATCATCTAACTCCAACCCCCCTGCCATGGGAAGGGACAGGGACATTAATCTCTGGGATTTATCCACGGTTAAATACATGAAAGTAAAACAATTCCTTCCCAAAGGATTTTTTTATTTATTTTTTTCTTTCCAGTAGGAAAGACCTTATGTTTTCTAAGCATCAAAGAGAGTCTCCTTTTGCTTTGCAGCTACCACCTCACCTCCATTTTCATACCTCCAATGATATCCTTGTATGAGAACCCAAACAGATTATGTGGTTATGACACGGAGATCCAGATTTGTCCCAGGAACATCTTTTTTTCCAGCAATTATCTTTATGCTGCACAGGCACACTTTGTCCTGATAACGTCAGAAAAAAATGTTTCCCATTGTGAAGCTATCAGGCCATAGTTTTTTTATTTTAAGATATATGAGTCAGGATGCACTCTGTACATAACTGTCTTGTGTAATGACATCGGACTGGAAATCTTCTTACAAAGGCCTAGCAGGAACAGAGCTTAGACAGCAATTTTCATCATTTTTACTGTCAGCTCTTTTCTCTTTAATTAACATGTTTTATTTTGCTCTGAAATGGGCACTGACTAAAATAAGTCTGCGAGACTCATGGAAGTTAAGATGATATTTGTTGAAGCACTGATGAAAATGAGGGAGTGTAATTCTGCTCTGGCACTGTGTGATCTCATATGGCTTCTCAGTATATCCATTTATATAAGAAAACTTGCTGCTTTGGAAAGGAAACTCTCAGAGCACGTGACATGAATTGTAGCACTTGGAGAGATGTTTGAGAGCTTTCATTACTCATGATCTGGATGCTGATATGTACACAAGTGCCTCCAGGTCCCGCATTACCTTACTGAGCACAGAATTCACTCATCACAGTGCAAGAGGTCATGGCCACTTATTTCAGAAGTGCTGACAGGAGTTTTTCTCCTCTCACAAAGAAAACCTCTTAAAATATTTGTTCTATTCCTTTTCCTTTTTCCACAGGAGACAGCTCCTTTTACTGCTGCTTTTTTTTTTTTTAAAGTAATTAGTTGCCCAGACAACATTTTCCAAGCACCGAAAATTTTTGTCAGTCACCACTATGATGCCCACAAATGGGCCTCTGTTACTGTTACACCTGATTACACATCTTCTGCATACAGTCTGCAATTTGTCTGCAACTGAAAGCATTCATGCCTTCCAGCCTCACTCCAATTTGCTGCACTTGCTTAATGCCCAACAGACCTTCTCCCTAATGGCACAACAAAAATACAGTCAAACCCCACACCTTTCTACCAACTCTTTTTGTTGAGGGTGTTTTTTTGTTTGTTTGTTTGCTTGTTTGTTTGTTTCCAAGATATTCCACCTAGCTTTGAAGTAACACTCAAGGATCCACAGCTTACAACATAATTCCTAACATTTTTCTTTAAAGATATATAGGACATTCCATTTTCTAAGATTTAGTGAGAAATTACTTATTTTTGTCAGTTTAATTTGCTTTTAAAATCCTGGGGGGGAGGAGGGGAGGGTTGGAAATAGGCATATATCACATGCCAAAGGCACCAGGACTCAGTTAAGAAGTCATTAACATTTACTACTCTTTATACTTCACCTCCTGAAATGGAAATGGATCCAGTCGGATCCTGCTGTGCAAAATGCTGCACAAGCTTCTGACTTTGTAGCAGACTTGATTCTAACTCAGGTCTGCTGCCCTTCACATTTGCAAGCATGCAAGGCCCGCTGCCATTTCTGTCTAATTTTCCTGAGTAAGGTATACTTTCAACTCCCTGCATCTCAATTTTTAACTCAGCTTTTCTTAGTTTTAGCTCTAAAGAATGGTGGTATCTGAGACACTAAATTCCTGTCTATGTGGTTCAGAAATTCATCAAATAAGGAAGGGTGTAATTATAATTAAGCTTCTTAAGAAATATCAGTTTTCCTTCTGAAAATTGAATTGTATCTTATTGAATTGGAGAATGTCTAAAATGTGCATAACCAGTAATGCATGAGCACATTGGCTTGGCTTTTAAGGCTCTGCCTTACAGATTAAATTACTGTCAAGAGTTCAGAGACTTTATTCTTTTAGGAGACTTGTTGAAGATTATTGTCCTATGCTGAAAATACAATAATTTAACCCAATTAGACTTAGTTGGAGCATGTTTATTAAGATATAAATCTAAATGTTTACTTTGGGTCTGATAATACAACCTTTTCTAATAAGAAGGTCTTCCATTTTCTTACCTGCTTAACACTCTTATGTCCTTCCATTTCTTATGGGGGGAGTCCAGGTGATGAGCTGGGACTGGACACCCAACTTTTAGATAACAACCTAAACTAGGTAAAATAAGGTAGCTTCTGTGATGCATCTTATTGCAAATTATGTGTGGATTGGCTTGCATGCTTCTCACCTCTTCTAGAATGGAGTAGAAGTGGTATTTTCCAAAGCCCCTGAGTGATCTGTGTGATTATGGGCAAGACCTGTATAAGCCATTAGTGATATGCCATTTTAAACATCACAGATTTGGGCTGCTTGGCTTGAGACCATTTAAAAGAGATTGACTTTGATGGAGGAAGTTTTCAAAACCTGTGTGAAAATGAGTTGTCCTTGAGGTATGTCAAGTTGGACGCTCACTGACTCTCCAGTCACTCAGCAAATTTCTCTAAAGGGATTTTGGTTATTTGGGAAGTAGGTCTCACTGACTTACTTTCTGTGAGAGTTGGTCTCTGAAAAGCTTTAGTTACTTTTGCAGATGGAACTTAGACTCACAAGGTACTTAGGAACACTGGAAAGTTTGGAAAATATGTTAGAAACTCCATCTCAGCATTCTCATCTCCATTTGCAGAGACACTGAATTATTAACTGTGTTTGTGGCTGGCTAATATCTTAATCCTGCTGAGATTTAAAATTTTTGCTCAGGGGTCCAAAGCAACTTTAAGTAAAATTTATTTATATTTCACTGTTATAAGGATTGGGACGGACCCCAAATTTGTGATTGATCTCTGTACACCCCACCTCACTTGCTGTTTTTATTCTCGGTAGTGCCTTTAGGAAAGGTCATCTCACACCTTTTAGCTCCGACAGAAATCCAGTAGAAGTTCCAGATCTTATCAAAGCCATTTCTCTTAGCCCTGTGCACGACTGAAGCACTTAAGTAAACAACAGATTTCCATGTTTACTTTTGACTTACTTCAGTATCCTTTGAATAAAAGGTTTGAAAATATTCAATAAGCCTTTGGAATATACTTATTAGCAAAAAGCAACCCCAGGAATTGTTTAGGCAGTAACATGAGTAATAAAGTAAAAATAAAGCATGGGAACTGCTCTCATCAAGGCACAGGCTGGTGACAGTGGAGTTGCTCAGCTCCCTGAAATGGACTGTGCTGGTGTGTGGCTGTAGCTGTGTTATGTCCCATGATGGCTCCTTCAATCTGACTCAGTAACATGAAAAAGGGACAACTGGAGCAAATGAAACCAGCAGGGCTACACCAAAACCCCACTGTCATTAATACACAGCACCAAACTGCGAAGTATTGGTCAACCAGGACAAGCTGAACTCTGTAGGACTGCGTGAGAGAGGGAAAGAAGTGCTTTTCATCTCAGGAGTCAGTGGAAGAGGGGCTCTGGTCTTGTGGTAAAGCTGCTTTGTATGCCTTTTAGCCTGTTTGCACTGTGAAGAAGACGTTGTGCATGGAAGCAGTGGAGTTCGTGCTACTCTTGCACCATCTTTGGCTCGAGGCTAGCGAGTAGGCCTTGTTGCAACCAGCTGTCTGCTCAGTGGTGTGGGGTTCCTCTGTCCGACTTCTCAAGGTGGTACCCTCAAGAATCTTACACTACAGGGCTTACACCAGCTCTGTATGGTGTCCCTTGCAAACCCTGCCTGTTAATCATCCTCTTTCTTGGATTTCATGGCCGCCTTGTACCCGCCTTTCCTTGTGAGACTTGCTTACGTGATGGAAACTGGCACTAAATAGTTACCAGCTGAACTCCCAGCCTTGGCTTGTACAAGGCCCCTTTGTAGGGCAAATTGAGCTGCGTCCCTGCCCAATGTAAGCAAGTCCCTGATTATTTTAACTAGATTTAAATATTTTTATTTTTTATTCATCCTACATTTATGGCAGCATTCTGATTTGTCAGTCCTATGGGGAATCTTCAAAACCAGCACCCTTTGTTAAAATGCATCATTCCTTCTGGCATGCAGCTTGTGGGAAGCCATATAAACCACAGAAAAAAATAGCATTAGATTGAGTTCTTGTGAGACAGCAAAATCTACGGGGAGTAGCACCATCATGGGAGTGAAGGAGAACTACTTTTAAGTATGTGGCTGGTATGAAGAGCAGGCACCCTCATGACTCACTTGTACAATTAGTTCAACAGGCTTAAAGTATCAGAGCAATCCCCATCAGTTGAGCTCTTTGCAAGAGCATGGCTTGCTGGTTTTGGCATCCAGCAGCTGCATTTTTAGGGAGCTTATCAGCATAGCTGTGCCCACTGGGGGTAGTGGTACAGTGCTCTGAAAGGATTCCAAACTTCTTTATTCTGAACCCTTTCTTAAAACCTCAATTTTAAATAAGCCTTCAAATTTTTCTCTTAATAAAAAAGAAAGAAAGAAAAAAAAAAAAAAAAAAGGAAAAAAAGCACAAAACCCACCCCTAACTGTAAATCAGCAGATCATCTGGCCTGGAAGTGGAGTGCCCTCATTATCCAAAGAAAGGTATAACTCACTTAGGATTGGTTTTCCTGTCCTTCCGATTGCTTTGGCTGCTCCAAAAGAATGAAGGTCTTCTTTCTGCTCAGCTGGTGTTTTCCTGGCACCAGAAATGGGAGTTTTGACTTTTCCATTCTCCTTACTGCTGTTTTGCCTCCTCAGTCATCTGTGTTGATCCTCTAACACCGTCAGCTCTTGGATTTTTTTCATTGCATTTCCTGCTTTTGCAGGCACTGATCTACTTTCATTTCTAAGGGCTTCTCTGACTTGTTTTTCAGCTCATTAAATATTTCCATCTTTTCTGCATCTCAGACACAGATGATGCTTGGCTATGTTCTGCTTCTGTTGTATATTTGCTCTTTGGAATAAAAAACAAAAACAGCCATTGGCCTCAAAATAGTTATTTAAAGCTTCTGACTTTTTTCATCAAAGTTTACCAAAGGTGAGGTAATAGCCTTACATTTGCCTTGGGCTTCATCCTGTGGTGTCCTTACCTGCCACCATCCACAGCACCAATTGCCTGTTATCGGAGCACTTCAGTCCTGTAAGACAGACAGAAATGCTTCAACACAGCTTTGATGTTTAAGAGAGAGAGAATCTTTATATAGTTCACATCCTCTCATCTCAGATTTGTTTTCTGTTATGTTAATGTGGCATACCCGTATAATGTCAGGAGCTCACTTGGATCTGTGGTGTTCAAGAGCCATTTGCATAATGTTTCCTTTGGGGATATGGAATGTATAATGTTTACCAGTCTTGAAAAAGGTGCAAACAGGATCAGACAGCCAAAGGTAGAAGAGATACGTGAATGAAATTTTGGAAATTTGGAAGAATGGGAGAGTCGGAAGACATATAACAACCTAAACACAAGGGAAAATGAATTCACTTCTTCTGCATGCTTTGTCACAAAATTCAGTCACAAGGGATGGGACAGAAAAAGGAGCTGAGTCTTACAAGCCCAATTTGATAAAAAATTTGTGAAGAAAAAAAATCTTTTTAGAAGACTTGAATTTTGGTGAACCAGGAAAGAAAGTGAAGTTAAGGGATGCAAAGATTGTCTGGGAAGGTTGTCCTGATTGACTTTGAGGAACAACTGTTAAATGAGCAACAAGAGAAATATAAATTTGACATGCTAACAGCTTGCCAAGTCATCTGGGAGGCAATAACAAGCCAAATGGGATGGCTCTCCAGTGCTTCATTCTTTTTTCCCAAGTTCTTCAAATTCACTCCCACTGGATTGACTAGCACCAACCTGACAGGCAAACCCTCACCCAGCCACTGGGAATAGAACTACATTTGGGTGGCAACAGAAGATGTGTTTTATATTCACACAGCTCCATCCACTATTGTAGTAAGAACATTTTTATCTTTGTCTTGATAAACTACAGCACTGTTCTGATGTCCTGGAGGGAGTCAGGGGCTTCTCAGGAGTTGGGGTGCAGGTTTTTGCCAAGCACCTGGTGCTGGGTCAGGAGTCCTTCGTGCTAGGGGCAGTGGAAAGAAACCTCCTTTAGCATGCAGTGGATAGGTGTTGGGGCATTCCCACTTTGCAATACTGTAATAAGATTAACAATATATGAACAGAAATATCATTTAAATTTCTTATGCATGCAATGATCCCAGATTGCTGGATGACTTGAAGACTGAGGTTACATTTACCCTGTGCTGCAGACTGGGGCAATCCCCACACTTCCAAAGCCTTCTCAATCTGTCTGCCAGCTGTATCTTTACCCACATTCCCTTGAATTTTCTTCTTTTTTATATAATATCTCCCCCTTGTGACTTGACCCTTTCCATCATTCTGCTCCTTGTGGAAATACAACCTGAATGCCCTCCCTCATCTGCCTTGTCTTCCCTTCAGTCCCTTCTTTAAGCTCTTATGCCCAAGCACCAGAAAGCCTTTTCAGTTTCTCATTACTACTTTCTGTTCCATTCCTTGCTGGCACTTTTGACCTTAGTTTTGTTGGCTTGTCTAGCTTAGGAAGATAACTCTTTGAAGAGTCCTTACCAGTACCCCAAGGCATATATAACAAATGAATGTGATGCTCGAGTTGTAATACATATATATGCTTCACAAATTTTTTCACTGTGCTTCAAGTAACTGATCTATGGTTGTTAAGAATACTAGCATAGTAAGGCATAACACTACAGAAATATTTTTGATGGGACTTACCCTCCACTATTTTTTTTTTGTGGAGCATTTGAACTCCAGAGATCTCAAGAAATACTGTGTTTTGAAGAGCCCATGTGGTGAGTCTGCTGTAGGAATGCCACAAGCAGTGATTTGTTGCATTATTGTGGACATATTGCTTTGAAAATGCAAAAGCTTCTTTACACGAAAAAGATTAGAGTCATGGGTTTTTAAATTTTAGGTTTAAGCATTTGCAACTAAAAGGTTCCAACAGGGAAAGCATAATGCTCCAGGCTCCCAAATAAAAATAAAAAGCACCTTTTCAACTCCCACTGGTTGAAGAAAGGAAAGCAGACTCACAAAGAGTTTCAATTAAATGACCATACTCTCACTTCTAGCAAATTTCAAGCTATGGTGGCAGAAAGCTATGTAGAGGCAGAGAAGGCTTAGATCTTTGTGCATGTCTCCAACGCCTGCTGCTTTTCATTTCTTACTCCCAGAGGCAGGAGAACAAATGATTCCCTCCGACTCTGACACCCAGGAGGCTTCGTTGATCATCAGGTGGTAGCATGGTGATGTCTCTCCTTCCTCTCCTGCAAACCTAGACATCACCTCCCCGACAGTGTGCTTTCTAAGTAGCCTCTTGAAGTCCCTCATTTGGCAGCTCAAAGTGCTGGAGTTGTGAGGCTGTCAGGGTGAATGTGCGTCTCAGCACTGCTCCATTTTTCTCAGCTCCATTTTTCTCCAACTCTCATAAAGTTCCTCTGGCAGGCAGCTGATGGCCCTACTGCCCTCAGACTGCTGAGTATTTTTATGTGCCTGCTTTTCCTTTCTTTCCCTGGAGTCAGAAAATAGGGAATTTTCTCATTTTCAGGAATACTTCTCCTTGAGGTTTGAAAACACCATGATTTTTGCAAATATGAGGGCTAAATGTGGAAAGCAACAAAAAGCCTTTGGGAGCCTCAGGATTCAGGGAGCACTATCAAGTCCTACTTCTTGGCAACTTTCAAATGTTTGGTCTTGTAATGTGTGCTTGTTTGGCTTTTTGTTTTCAGCTCCTGAAGTGTTGGCCCAGAAACCCTACAGCAAAGCTGTGGACTGCTGGTCCATTGGGGTCATCGCATACATCCTGTGAGTATCCATTGGGTTTTCACAGGTGGCTTTGGGATCTAAAACATGCTCTCCCATTATATATTTTCCCACTTAGTTTGCTTGAAGAAAGTTAATCTCTGACAGTTGTGAGCCAGGATAGCGTGAACCTTGGATATGTCCCAGTTATGTAAAGGCCGAATTTGGGCAGAAGCTGTAAGAAATGAACGAGAACCCTTCAAAAAGGCAAAAATCCCTACTCCTGCCTAAATTACATGTTGTATAATAGTATGGGCTTCTTCAGGTTGTGATGTCAATGAACTTGTTCCCTTTTCTGCTCAGTTTATCTTTGATTAGAAACAAGTTTGGCATGTCCACAGAGCACAGCATCATGCCCATGGATGTGTCCTGAAGTGTCACCTCTCTTGAGGTGTCACTGTGTTAGCTTCCTTCCTTGGGGAGGGCCACAGGTGGATAAGAAGACAAGAGCTTTTTACATACCAAAGTGAACTATTTCCACCAAAGCATAATACAAAATGATGAGATTTTTGTGAAAATGGAGGTGATTTTCTTTAACGCATCCACTCCTTCAACCTTCAAGTCCCATAGGAGATGATGAGCTGATTCCTGCCCTGTTGATTCCATTGCTTTTCCATGAAGCTGTTAAGCCTCTGCATTTGTAGCTGAGTTTGCTCCTCTGACAGGACTAATTGCTAGTCAAGAGTGTAGGGTATGGTTGCTTGAGAAAGCTACAGGACCAGGACTTTTGTGCATTTCCCAAAGTGGTGGATGAGTCTCAGAACCCATATATTTAAGGAGATTTAGTGCCTGTCTTCGTTCAGTATCTGCCACTCTTCTTTACAAAGATTTAATAGGACCATAGGATATTTAGGTTAAAAGGGTTCCCGGGAAAATTCTAGTCCTGTCTGTCAGGTCATACCAAGTTGTCCAAGGTTTTATCCAGTTGGTTCTTGAAGTCCTCCTCAGGGACTATACGAGGGCAACCTGTTCCCTGCTTAGACTGTCCTCATGGGGAAGAGGTTTTCCTTATATCCAGGCTTGTCTCCATGAAATGGGACAGCCGGTGCTGTGGATGTGGGTGCACCTTCAGTGTGTGAGCCATAGGAGTGGGTGAACCCCCTCCTGTTCCAGTGACTGCAGAGGTGTCTTTGCTACTGTTGTGGTGGGGATATCCTGGTACCAGGGGTCATTAGCGCTACCCAGAGAAGAGCACCCCTAATATTTCAGGAAACCATCATCTGAATCCAGCTGAGTATATGAAATCACTGTGGATTGAGAGGGAAATGCAGAACTTCTTGCCCATGAACCTGTAGGAAGGCCTGCTCTAGCTTAGGGTACTATCCTGATGGGCTGGTCTGTGCTCAGGGTCAGGTTCCTGAGCTCATGTACGCCGTTCAAACAGCAGTTGTGCAGTTGCATCTTCACAGTGTAGCTGATTTTGAAGCAGGAGCAATCCCTACTTTGTTCAGGTCTTCAAGACGAGGTCAGGCTATCACCATGGGCTGACTCAGGGAACCACACAGCACAAGGATCCTATTCCTTGTGTGCAGGAGAGCACATGTAGCTGTTGACTGCTACAGAAACAAACGCCTTTTCATGCCAGAACTAGCAGTGCTTTCCTTTCTATGTTTTTTTATTTTTTCCTTTTTTACACAACTGTCAGAGTTATACAAGACTGCAGGAAAAAGGCAGCTCCAATGAGGCTCAGCATTAAAGCATTCCTGCTTTGTTCCCTTTCTCCTTATGCAAACATTTCATGGCTTGTCAACGTGAATAACTTTTCGATGGTGTAGTAGAACTATTTTTGCCAGGACACACCTCATTGCTGCATTATCCACTCTGTGCAAAGTTCATTCTTTACATTTTCATTTAACCTTGAACATAAACTATATATGACCCAAAATAGCTTTTATATATTAAAATAGGGACAGGATTTGTTTATTTGCATGTATGTTTATATATTTAAAGCAAAGCCCTGCCCACACACATCAGTCTTGTGACTGCCTTTGCCATTCTGCATGAATATTTGAAAAGTTCTTCAGTACAAAACTTTGCAGGGGGATGGATTTACCTCGGAGAAACCACCAACAGCTGGATTCAAAAAAACTTCTGCATAACAAAGCAAAAATCAACAGTTCACTGACTTTTTGTCAAAACCCAGTGGGACATGCCACAGCAGCGAGGAAGAGAGCAGACATGCCAAGATACCTTAGAGGCTGCTTCACACAATATTCCCTAAAGCTCTTTTAGATGAGGATGGGGTGTGCTGATGCAAGATTGCCATCTTGCACAAGCAAACATGAGCATGGGAGCCCTAGATATTTTCTTGTTGGTTTTGGCTCTTGCTAGCCATGGCAGGACAGCCAGGTAGGGTCGTTCCTTTTGCTTTCAGAGTACTTTGCTGAGTACCAGTTTCAGAGGGAGATAGAAAGGAGGCTGCAGGTGGAAGACAGCAGTATGTTGCCTTGCTTCCAGGCTTGACCACTCCCCAGATTCAGTTTAATGTCAAATTTTCACCATGAAAATACATCTCCACCTGGCAGCCTGCAGGAGGAATGAACTATTGCATCCTGGTTCCTGGAAATAAACTTGGTTCTGCTTTTTGTCAGGTTTTCAGTCCCATTCAACCATGATTCATGCACCGAAGGTCTTTTCTGCTGGCAGACCTGATATGATTTCATTTGCTGCTTTTATGTGTGAGGAAAATAGGTGAGACAGAGCTAAGCAATATCCCTGCCACCTCCTGGTTCATGAACACATCTTCCAGAGGGGAAAGGTTTCAGTCTCATCCATAAACCTGGCGAGGATGCTCTTTCTGTGAGGTTCACTTCAGTGATTTCTTGCTCTTTTCCAAATCAGCATGCGCTGGTCTTGTCAGGCAAGGTGTATGCACTTCTCAAATATTAATTCACTATTTGCTTTACGGGGAATTCCCAGCCCTGAAGGCTTAAATCAGTTTAGTGAGAATGAGTCCCTACGAATTTCTTTCTGCAGGACAAGGATGCCTTTTGGGAGTTTCTGCACTTCATGTAATAAAGACCTGATTTGTATTATGTGCAGCAAAAATGAATGGCAATAATATGTTTCCGCAGGAGCGTGGTAATGTGTTCACCAGACTGTAACTCGGTCTGCTTGGGTGGGATTGGGTCTGAGATCAAATCACCTCCTGGATTATTTCTGCACACGAGCTACATCTTTCAGCTCCCTGGTACAGCCAGCAGCACTGCAGGCCCCACGTCAGCTCCCTTCACGTAGGTGCTTTGTGCTGTTTTAGTCACTCACAGAGGCCCACCTGGTCTCGAGCTGTCACTGTAGGATAATCCAGCCCCCCGTAGACCCGTGACCTACCTTGTCAGGTTGGGTGTCCCATGCGCTCCAGGGACACGGCCATCCCAGAGCTTCTCCTGTACCACTGGGCTCTACATGTGGGCACCTCAACCCAGCCCGTGTGGATGCAGGCAGTCCCTTCACTGGGATGTGCCATTCAGTTGCCTAAAATACACATATTTAGAGCTACACTGGGGTGTCCAGGACAGCCACGTGGATTTGGCAAATGTAACACACTGTGGGAAGCTTTCTTCTGGAGCGGCAGATGGAGGATAGCAGGGTACCCACGACCATGTCTCACAGCACCAGATGCCTGTGTTTAGGCAACCAAATCACCCCCTGCTCCATTCCCAACCCCCTGTCTTCTCGGTACAATTCCATTTGCTTTAACTTTCACTTGTGTCACTCTCTAGTCTTGGCTGACTCCATCTCTGGTGACTGTACTGTGGTGTTAGAAACCCAATCCACAATTATGTGTCCTAATCTTGAACTGGATCTCCCCCTTCCTTCTAGGAATAGCCAGAAGCTGATAGATGTGTCCTTATAGAAAATTGTATGTGAGAGGAGCAGTAAAGATAGAGAAGAAGAGGGGTTCTTATCACTCTGGAAGGAAGTGGCCCTTCTGGGTGTCTGATACCACAGTGATGGGCACAGGTTTAACAGCTGGCTTGGTTGTCTTGCAAGTGCCACACCAGCAAACCAGATGGAGACCTATTTATGCATAGGGAAATCAGAGCACATCAACTTACATCACCTCCCCGCCTCTCCCACGACTCCTCACAGCCACTCGGAACAGACTGTTATCATTTAAGAAGATGGAAACTCAAGGGAATCTGACACAGAAGCCAGGCATATATTAAAGATGTTTTGAGCTATTATTACTGTAAGTGGCTTGAGTGCCTCCAGACACATGCTCAGGTCTCACATGAGAGCCTTCAGTTTATGACACTGGAAGAACAAACTGTTTCTTGGGCAGCGAAGCTCTTGACAAATATTTGTTTCTGTAATAGGCAAGGTGAAGTATGTCTTAGGAAAGAATACCTTTGTTTCAGTGCCAGTCTCTAATGCCTCTCGTTAACGACATCCAGATTGCAGAGGCTGCACCAGCAGAGCTTTTATCAAAACCTGTTTTGCATGAGAAGTCATTATTCACAAGAACTAATTATAGCAGCTTGAAATTTCCTGTTATTCCAGTTGCAATATTTCTCAATCTGAAACAGCCTCGTTGTTGAACTCAGCTTTCTGCCTATCACAAGATAGTTTTGATATGTGTTCAGCTTCAAAACATAAAACATATGAGCAGGAGACATCACTGGATTCCCATCAGCTGGGTTTTGGAGCTGCCTGGGTCACATGAGAGGCTGCAAAAGCCTGCAGAGCTAAAATACTGATACCATGCACACCTGATATAAAGAAGATTAAGTTAACTGATTAAAAATAATAATAATAATAATAAAATAAATGTTCCAAAGCTGGAGAAGGGCCTGGGGCCACAGGATGCTCTGCCTCAGCCCCTTGCCATTCACGCTCAATGCATCCTATCTCTTCTGCGTGAGGCTGAATGCATTTTGCCTTGAACTTTCTTCTGATTCTGTTCATTGATAGGACAAGTGAATTACTGTTTTTTTGTTTGTTTGTTTTGGTTTGTTTTTTTTGTTTTTGTTTGTTTGTTTTCTATTCTTTTTATAAACAGTGGGTATCTGGAGGTAATTCTTGGGTCATATTCTTTTCTAGACTTTTTTTTTTTTTGCTGCTGATTTTCAAAAACAAGTGCATGAAATCATTTATGAAATGTTTGTATAAGAGGATTAGCCATGGACTGTACAAAGTATTCCAGAAAAAGTTTCTACCTTTGTCCTGAAAACATCTCGCCCTCTCAGTACCACATGCAAGCCTCAGCAGGACAGTGAGTGATAACTTTACTTGTTTGGTACTGCAAGGAGAATTAGCAGAGGGAAAACACACATAGATTGATACATTGGGTTGCTCAGGATGTCATAGTTAGACTGGGAAAACAAACCCAAATTATTCCTCATCATTGTTTGCTTCTTAATTTATTTTTTATTCCCCATGCTAATATGTCTTTGTCCACAATTTCACGAGGGTACTAACATCAGCCAGTATGGAAGGCCGTTCCCAAAATAAGAACTACACGGGTTTAACCATATAAATAGAATTTGGATGACTTCCCACACCATACATCTCAGGTCTTTGAGCACTTACTGAATTCTTTGCTCTAGTCTAACCAAAAAAAGAAAAAATGTTTGTAAAACTAACCTCTGTGCCTCCTGCATTGCAAGCTGGACAATGCCCATGAGAATGGGTTATTTAGCCTTTAGCATCACCCCAGTGTGTAATGGGAGCTTGCAAGAGTTTGCTTTCTCTGCAAGAAAGAAGGCATTCCTGGTATTCTTCCTGTGCTCTCTTGATGGCTTCTAGAAATGACTTCTGGCAATTTTTTTTCATTTGTGCATCCACCTGTGTTTATTTTTTTTATCTGCATCCCATTCTCTTTTAAGGCAAGACTGGGAATAGGAGGTTGATGGAAGATCTGTTGCTGATATTGTAAGGTTGTTAAATAATTCTAACAAGCTTTTATTTGGTGAAACTGCTAGAAAATGATGACAACTAATAGCTGCCTGAAGCTCCCCCAGGACTAGGCAGGATTTTTTCACATTGAAGACAGAGAGGATATTTTTGTATTTCTGCGTATCTAAATAAAAGCAGCAGAACCTCTGATAGTGAGGTCATTTTTTTCACACAGAAACATCCCAGCAGATGGAAATTAAGTCGGTGGGATTTTGATTCTATACGAATTAAATAAAAACTTATTATGGACTTTGGAATGTGGCCCAGTCTTTGGAAGTCCAGTAAAATTTCCTCCAGCCATAAATTGTTTGTTGGGCTAATTTACTGGGGCTTTCCCATCCCTTGTTGCAAAGCCAGTGCTGGCTATAAGTTACAGTAAACCTCTGTGTCTTCCCAAACTCTGATTTTAAGGTAAAGGACAACAATATTTTGGCTCCCACCACCTCCATGTGCCAGGATGCTTGAACGTTTCCCTTTCACATGCCACATCCTCTGTCCTAGGGAGCTCGGTCTCTTCCTCTAATGCTTTCTACTGTAGGTTCTCGGTGGTTTGCTTCCTACAGGAACATCCTTGAGACCCCCTTTGCGGGTCATTTGTCCCCCTGTTGTCCCCAGATGAGCCAGGACCAGCCCTTGCCCTGTGCTCAGCCTACTCTTGGGCAGGAGGCTGGCTTGGAGGGATGTCCCTGCCCATGACCAAGGATAGTGGCCAATGCTTCTCAAGCCCTCCCCACTCATCACTGAAGCTGCAGAATTGGGAGCCTGGGGGTAAAACTCAAGGGGTGATCACAGGGCTCATCCTGCCACTGCTAAGGTGCTCGGATACGCAGATGTGTCGATACCCAAGGCACACCAAGGAGCTTGGGAAGCTCTTGGGATGTGTAGGAAAGGGATGAAAGGCTCTGGGAGGACTGGGACTCTTGCTGGGGCACGTTTGTCTCAGCTCTCCCTGCTTGCAGGGTTCCAGCCCCCCAGCTCTGTGCTGCTCAGCAGTTTACTCCTATGTTTTGCTGCCACAAGCATATATAAATCATCGCTGTCCTAACTTGTGCTCTTGTACCTCTGCCAAGGTAATTAGTACGATGCACATTTTAAGAGAGTTATTTCTCTCTCCGGAGCAGCCTGACAGCACCTCAGCAGGCACAGCGCTGTCTGCTCGCCTTAAAATGCTTTATCAGAGCACTTTGGTTTTCTTGAAGGAAAGTGCTGAGGAAGGCAAGAAATTAATGGAGGGCTGTCAGACTTCTTGTACGGAGTTCCCCAGGAAAGTGAGGCAGAGGAGGAGCAGTTTTCCACCAGCCTGGGCACCTCTGCACCAGCGGCTGTCACAGTGGCTGCAGCAGCCTCTGTGAGGTAGAAAAGGTAGAAGCCTCTCCAACCCATCAGTAACACTCCCAAAATCTTGCGGGTTGTGTAAAAGAAGAGGAAGGTGAAATTCTGATTGTGTCCCCAAGACTGTGGGAGCTAAGCACTGAGATTTGTTAGATTAAAGCATGATATACAAATGTTCTTCAAAGATATCTGTGGAGCTGGATCCAGTTTCTGCATTCAGTTACCAGGTTATTATTATTTTTGTGTGTCTTATCGAGATGGAGAGTGGCTTTTGGGGGTTTTATTTAAAACCACCATTTTTAATGGCCCTTCCTATGTGCCATTTCCACCATGGGTCTCGTACAGGAATTGCTGCATCAAGCCCCATACACAGGCATGTGCCCGTCAAGTAGATATGCAGTCTTGCTCCAAATGTAAATGCTTGTCTGGCACGAGGTTATCTTACTTGCTTTTGATAATGGCAGTCATCCAGTGGGACACAAATGAGGACTGACTCATCTGCTTCGAAAGATAAAGAGATGTCTTATTCGGTTGAAGCGCAGGGGTTTCATTACAATGCTGCAAATTTCAGCAGAGTTCTTCCAGGTCAATATGGATCTGACGCAGATCAACATCTCACTCTGCATTTAAATTATTTATCATGCACACTGACTCTTCAGAGCTAACAAAACACTGCTCCTTTCACCCTCAAGTGTTGAGTTGGTTCAAATAACCTCCAGGGCAGCCGACTGGCTTAGGGTTATAAATAACTTGAGTATTTCATTTCTTACAGTTTTCCCCCCCTTGCTCTGTTGTTGCTGCAGTGTGGTGTTTCAGCTAGATCTTCAGTCTGTTTATAAGAGCAGACTCTGCCCAGTTAAATACTTAATTGAGATTGATTGGTCTAGGGTTTAAGAAAATGTAGGAAAAAATCATTTAATTATCAAGGAAGCATGTGGAAAAAATGATTTACACCATAGGCTTGAGGTAAGAGAAGAAATTAAGACACAGACACAAAAAAGGTCTGGGTAACTGTGAGCAGGATGGGTTGGCTAAAACCAGCCTCAGAAGTCAATCTGGCACTTTGCAAAGTTAAAACCTGAAGAAGGGATATCTTTGATGATATGTCTGCTCAGAGAGGGACAGGCTATTGCACACAGCATCTGCTGGATGAGAGGGGTCTCTGACACACAGGCTTTGAAGCTGTTTTTGCTCTGTGCAATGCTGGAGGTAGTGCTCCTGTATGAAGCATCTGCAGGGCTGGAGGAGCCGTGCCTCAGCAGAGGGGATGTCCTGCTGTCTGCAGCACTGCGAGGTGCTTCCTCACTGCTTTAGTTCAAACTGTTCACATAACATTCAATGTCCTGCTTGTCCTGGGGCTTGGCTGTCTGGTTATAAACACTGAAGACCTGGGCAAGGATGTTGTTAGCCTTAGGCAGTTTGAAGAGGGCAGCAAAATAGCTTGCAGAAGTGAAAGAAAGGGAGAGATTTCTCCCAGTGTAACAGCAGAGCTGCACCCAGCCCAGGAAGGCTCTGCTGGTTTTGTACCCCATGAAAGCTCGTCTTACCACATGTAGGGGAGAGGATGAAAAGGATCATGCCCGTATTTTAAAACAATTCCTCCCCTACACACCCAAAAACATGCAGAGGGAAGTCAGAGTATCTGTGGGTCACTGTAGGATCAGCTGCACCAGGTTGCTGTGCAGAATTCCTCTTTGTCATGGACAGTGCCAATCTTCAGAAGTGTTTTTACATGTTCCTGAACAAATAGCCCTTCCTTGATTGAAAACTTAATGGGACAAGTCCTAAATAAGAGTTTCTCCTCCATCCCCCTTTCTTACCTTCTTGGCAGAGATGGGTCCAAGTGTCACTTGCCTCTTCTCTTGTTCTGCATTAGGCTCTGTGGATATCCCCCTTTCTATGATGAAAATGACTCCAAACTCTTCGAGCAGATCCTCAAGGCGGAGTACGAATTTGATTCTCCATATTGGGATGACATCTCTGAGTCTGGTAAGAAGCTCATTTATTTGCCACAACCAGGCATGCATGCAGCCGTACCTTTTGTAGGTGTTCTCCATATGTGCCTTCCATTGTGTGTGGAGCTCCTTTTAACTAAAATTCATTGGGAATGGGCATTTCTTCTAGATAAATAGTTACAGGAAGTTATTTTTGCGGGAGAGCAAATTAAGTACCATTTCATCCAGTCACATACAAAGCACTAAAATGTAGCTGGGACAGAAGAAGATAGCAGAAGGCTGTCCCAGAAAGACAAAGCAGTTCAATATCTCCATCACATCCAAATAAAATGCAGGTGTTTTATGTGTCACTAAGAATAGAGAAAGTAGTCCAGCTCTGTTACTAAAACTGTGCCGCATGTCCGAAGTGAGTCTGCAGTGTGTACAGCAAAGACAAATGCAAAAAATTAATGGCTTCTAAACGAGGACAATAAACAGATTTGGAAACTGGGAGTACTGTCCATGTGGCTGGATCCAGGTAGCTGCCCATGTGCTCCCCCAGTTCCCCACCCAGCAGAGAAGCCGTTTAACCCATAGCACCTGCCTGTACCTGCAGAGGCTTGCCAGCATTGCATCCCGTGGGTGCCACTGATGGGCTGTGGCCTCCAGGAGGTCACACAAGGTTGGTGCCATTTCACGCAGGAGGAGAAATGAATAATGGGAAAAAAAATATGATACAAAAATATCCTGGAAATACTTTTTTTTTTTATTATTCCTTAGTAATACCGATTACTTAGGTGAGACATTAAAGTGTTTTATTTTAAACATGATCCTTGTGGGTCCCTTACAGCTTGGGATATTCTCTGATCCTATGAGATATCCTACTATATCCTAATAGAACAACATTTCATGCTGCTTACATCTGCAGTCCAGATATAGTTGGGAGAGATTGCTTTAAAATGCATGTGATGAGAGGTTTTTTTAAGCCTGTAAGAGTTTTCTGAGCAAATATGAAGGTCTGCTGGCAGACTCCTTTGCATTTTGGGAGAGAAAGTCCATCACCTACAGCAGCACAAAGATTTTCCTGCTATATATGGCTTTGCTGTTGCTCCTTCAGCTGTTCTCTCATGAAACTACTGGATACATGCCATGCTGTGATCTCCCTTCCCTCCATCCTAGAGTCAATTAAAAACACACTACCTCATGCCCAAGGGAGTCCCTTTCCCTCGGTAACTGGTTTTTAAATACACAACATGTCCTCTTCACTGCCCACGTGTGTGGTTGCTTGGAATGAGCCATGAAATGCTCCTCTTGCTGCAGTTTCTGACCTTCTCCTTGCCTTTCCCTCTCAATTTACCAGCATCTCCAACAGGTATGGCCATATTCAGACCACTAAGGTGCTCAGAAGCTTTTGGCTGACCAGGGAGCTAGAAGCTGGCAGGATCAAATTCTTCTGACTCCAAATTATTCACCCCACTCCTAAGCGTACCTGCAGGAGTAGAGGCCTTAGGCTTCTATCTGCCACATTAAATTCCTTAAATTTGGTCCTAAGTCACTTTGGTTATGTGTATACCAATAAATGACAAATGAACTAGGACCATTTTCTGGTACTGGTGGCACTTGGTGGTCTGGTCCCTCTGCTAAAACTCGTTTTGCCTTCAGAGCAAGGGAGCATCCTGCTGACGGGAAATGGGCCGTGCTTATTCCCAAAAGATGCTTGGGAAGGAGCTAGGTGGTCTTGAAGGCAATTTTAAGAGGGACAGCTCAAGAAGGTAGATGGTGGTTTTCCATCAGCTGTGAGCATTCCCTGACAGTTTTGTTTACTAGTTCAGATATCATTTGTTTACTAGTTCAGACATCAATCTTTGTATTATCTGAGCAACATGTTCCATACCTATGGGGAGTTCTCTCAATAATCTGGTTGCTGTTGTATGTAAATAGGAAACCTAAGTGTAGGTCTGGCCATATTGCAGAACTCAGTATTAAACCTATTGATTAAACCTATTATTAAACCTATTGCTTTAAATGATCTTGTCTTTTTTTTTTTTTTTTTTTTTAATAGCTAAAGACTTCATTCGGAATTTGATGGAGAAGGACCCTAATAAAAGATACACCTGTGAGCAAGCAGCACGACACCCTTGGTAAGCAACAGTCACTGCTGTGAAACCCTTGGGACAGTGAACGTTTTCCTCCAGGTTTTCCTGGAAAAACATGATGGACTTTAATCTCATGCATCAACCTGTTGAGTATCTGTGCAATATTTCAGTGAAGGGCTGCATTATGTTGACTGTAGTGCAGCGGTGGGATATACTGAAATGACTGAGCCCAGAAAGCACATTTGGGGTTGAAGGCAAATGGTCAGATTGTGCAGGTGTGCAGAAAGCTGGGTATCAACCTGCTCATGAGGTCTTTGTCAAGGTAACGGCAAAGCACCTAAGAGAACATTAAGAGGTAGAAAATTCTCCTCTGTGCTTCACAGATGGTAGCCTACCTCTTCACCTCATGCTTGCAGCAAAGGTCGGGTTTGGCGTGCTGTTTACCCTGCCTTGTTGAATGGAAGAGGCAGAAAACACTAAGAAAGGGATAAGCTGAGTCTGAATTAGTCTAACAATGTTGCTTCTCTGCAGTGACTACAGAAAAGTGCCTGGTCTGGCTGTATTCGTAGTTTAGCCCTCCATTAAGTGCTTTATATGAGATGATGCCTTTGCACATAGATGACTTGACCAACATTACCCAGAGATCATGTAACTGAAACAGGAATGGCTCAAGGCCTTTTGACCAACTCGCTTAGCATCACCCCACACTGCCAGCTGCACCCAAAAATGGGCTTTAGACACAAGTCTTTTGTCAGGGACCATTACATATGAGGCAAGACTATCTTTGGTAGTTACAGTAGCTGCAAAAGAAAGAAGTCAATGATGGTATTTTCACCCCAGGTATGCATTAGACTGTGCTTTTATGTCATCACAATTACCACAAATACCATTTCCTTTTGCAATTTCTGGAGTGTTAGCTGGATAAGAGCATTAGGCTGTGCATTTCTCAGGGAACAGAGGTTTTTCCTGAGTGTCTCTAGCCCCTCAGGAAAGCCACCGAGCCAGTGTCATAACTAGCTAAACAGCTTGATGGGCCTTAAAAACGTCCTGGTGATGCAGTCTGAGCCCAGTGATTAACCTCACATAGTGCAGCTGAGTGTAAAATGCCTGCTAGGAAAATCACAGGCAGAGAAGTTATTGGTGTTTTTCTGGGTAGTTTTGGCTTCAAGGTGTTTATGCTCCTCTCCCTGACCCCAGCTGGTTTGCCTCATCCCACTGTTGCTCTCAGTCCTGGGACAACATGGACGGTAAATCCGTTCAAAGGTTTTTACAGAGGAAAAAATACCATTTTTGGCTCACTTGCTGATGATATTTTACGAATATGCAGGGTGATGAATTTCTCTGATCATTAACTAATAGTTTTGCACTCATGAAGGAGGCAGAAAGTTACAGCTACAAAAGTAGGACAGTCTGATGGCACTGACTTCTTCACGGTGGGAGTGAGGTACCAACGTCTGACCGCCAGATGCTGTACTACAAATTATGCTGAAGATAAGATTGAGGGTCACCCTTCAGAATCAAAACAGTTCTAGGAACAGTTTCGGATGTAGAAAGAAATGTAAATCATCGAGAAAATCAAAGTTGTTGCTTTTCATTTTCCGTGTAATGACAATGAGAAAGATTTTACAGATGGTTATTAGCTGGGTCAGCAGGGTTATTGGCTGGCATCAATGCAAATGAGAGATGAGGGAAAGTCAAGACCTGGGTCTGCCCTTTTTCCAGTGCCCCATCAATAACTGTGTTTCCCATCAATAAGTGTGACAAAAAAAGAAATCTGGGAAATGAAATCTGACTTTGGTGAGAGGAAAAAAAAAAGCATTTCTAAATGATACTGACCTGAGCCTCAGGAAATTAAACAAGTTACAAAAGTCAGTATTAGAAATACAGAATAAATAATGGGAAGGCAAATCCCTGCAGGGAATGAGGTGACCATTTGTATAACTGAGAGGCAGATTTTCCAAAGCCCCATATCCAAGATACACATAGTGTAAGCATCCAGTTCTTGGCCCCGCTACATCTGTGTTGGTTGCTGGAGTGCAACAAAGAAACGTGGCACTTGTAACACACACAGCTTCTGGGCCCTCCTAAAGGAACAAAATGATAAAAAGCGTTTTCATTCTTTTTTTTTTTCTTTTCTTTTTTTTTCATGGCCCACAGCCAATGGAAACTCACAGGCTGCTCCATAATGTTTGGTATTTTCTACAGAATTCAATCTTCTGTTGAAGAAACCCCCCTCCAAAAAGGGATTTCCCCCGTTTCTGTGGCCGGGGTCTTTTTCTGCCAGTCTGACTTTGCAAGGCAGTGGTTCATTTACAGGGCTGCCTGTAAAATTCCCAAATCCACCTCTCTCCCACATGATCTGCAGAGCACAGCAGGTGGCGAAGGCAGTACGTGTCAGTGGATTAAAGAGCAGAAGGAGGGTTGTGCAGTGAAAGCAATGCATGAGCGTATCCAGAAAATGGCTTCAGATCTGCCTTTGTCCTCCCCAGTGTGCTCCTGAGCAGAGGTCTCAATGCCTCCTTCCCCCTTGCTCTTGAAAATCTTCCTGTAACATAAATGTCGCTGTTTTGGACCTCTCTGGAGAGAGGTGCTGTGATTCTTGGAGGGTCTGGATCCTGTAGTGATAAACACTGCTCGATTGCCTTTTTGGATCATCGAGGCTGCTCTCCCAGATATCATCTGTTATTTCAGAGTTAGTGGTGAGACCTCATTTTGCCAAACCATTGCTCAAGAAGCATTTTCCACCCGGATTGCTTATGCCAGGAAATAATGAGGCTTTTACTGTTCCTTCTCTCTTTTTAGCCATTATATCTGTTGCAATGGCATCCTTCCCTCCCCTTCCAATGCGGAGGAGGAGGTGGAGAGCTTGATGGTTCTTCTCAGTGGTCAACTATGTCCTTCTCTCAGCCTGGATATAAGCTTCCAGCAAGTCTAGGCTTGAGTTCCTCTGTCTTGTGGCTGTATTTAGTGTCATAGCAGTTGGGGACAAGGGTGCAAGTGTTTAGCCAACAGAGAGGCTACAGTGACTATTATAATGGGGACATCCTATCCCATCTTTTTGTCTAAACATGTATTTTTCAGCATACCTCCCTGCTGCAACCTCACCTTCCATAGTGTTTGCATTGTGTTATCTTCTGCATGTGATCAAAATTAGTGTAAGTGGATAAGTCTCCTGGCTTGGTTGGAGGAGATGATCAGGTAGAGAAGCATAAATGAGGAGGTGGCTCCATGTAGTGACAATTTCTAGCTTTCCCCTTTTACTTCCTCCTGCATAAACTTTTTCATGCAGTGCCAGATCTTTGGGATCAGCCATAAATTAGGAAGAAATATGTCAAATCATGAATACTTCTAAACACATAGATATAATCTCAATGTGATAAAAATATATATCTATACATAAATTGGCAACCTGGTCATGAGATTTTTTTTGCTTCAATGTATAACATTTGTGAAAATCAAACTGATTCCAAAATATTCCACTGATTTTAGTTACTCAAACAAGTAAATTGATAAGGTTTCCAAGAACTAGATCTTGCAAGATATTGCATTTGTGCCTTTAAGGTTAATAATCTCCTGGAATTTCAGGAAAATGCTCAAGAATAGCCAGCTATTCACATGACTAAATGTTTGTACAGGATCAGACCCTAAAAAAAGTAAATACTTCTTCCTAATGGCCCACTTTTCTGTGCTGTATCTGCTCCCCACATGCCTGCATTTACGTGATGTTTTGCTATTTATAATCAAATGGCCTTGGCAGGAGGACAGTATGTTAAACTTGGAGCTGGCAGAAAAGGAGGCTAATAATTGCAGTGAAGTATGGTAGCAGAAACAGTACAATATGTAAGGCTTGTTGGTATAATGATTACACCGCAGCCTGCACAATCTGTGCATTTATACAGATTTCTCCAGTTTAATATACAGATGACTTATGCTTTCCATTGGAAAAGTGATTTGTTTTATAGCATATCTTTTGCCGAAGTTTGCACTGTTTATGATGTGTTGCAAAGGTGCAATGTTCTATTTCATTGTTCCATTGTGACTTTTCGAAAAGGACGTGGAAAATGAAGGTACCAAAAGAGCGGGGTAATTTTGCTGCAGCTTGATACATTTTAATGTTTCCCGAGCTCATATTAATGACAGCAATTAAGTTTATTAAATATATTGCCATGTCAAAACCCACATCCTGTTTAAGGCAGCAGCTCAGGCTGCAGTGATTAAGGGCGAGCAGCAGAAATCCACGGATCTGTTTTTTCCAGCTGTAGGACCACACTGTGCTCCCCATCAGGTCAAGCTGGGTTCTGTGTGCCCCAGGGCTGGCCCCAAATTCAGCCTTGGCCCAGAGGGAAAGAAAAAAGAGTCCTCATAGGGAGAGGAGAAGGTCCCAGCAGTTAAGAAGCTGAAGTGGGAGCTGGAAGATGTGCTGTGAACTTATTTGCTTTGTCACGCATTTCCCAAGTGACCTTAAATAGGATTTAGAGCAGTGTGCTGCTGCTGGTTACAGCATTGCAGACAACTGGGGATGTGGAAATTGAAGGGTGTTATATGTATCGCCTCCTTATATTAGCTGCATAACTGGAGGGAAGGAGGTTGTGGCACCTAAATTGTTGTGACACCTGTGGTAGTGGATACAAGCGTGGCCTTCACCTTCCCCACTGCTCATGGGGAGGGAGAGCGGATACTTGGGACGTGCCGACATCCATCCCCACCTACGTCAGGAATCGCAAAGCTTTGGCAAGGATCGAACCCCTGCAAATTGTGACCATGACCCTGTGTGTTTATTATGTGCCAGAGAGCACGAGCCAGATAATAATTTCCACCCAGGGAAAGGACATGGTTTACAAAGAGCTCAGTTCTCAGACAATGTTGTTTGAAGTGCGAAAAGGGCTCTCTGAAGGGAACTGCTGATGTTTACAACATTAAATCAAACCCTTGTCGAGTTCATCCCCACACTCTATTTATTTTGGAGCACCACTGATACCGTATGCGTGTGTGTATATTTATACACATGCATGTGTGTATCTGTGCATATATGTGTGTGTGCGTGCATGTATAGAAGAGTTGTGATCCTTCAGCCTTATCCATTCCAGCTAACTCCACGCTTCCTGTCATCATACTCAAGAGTATTTCCAAGCACTGCTTGGCCAGCACGGCGTTTGAGTTGGCTGCCTTCAGTGAGTATGAAGGGTCAGAAAATAATGCTAGATGAAAGACTCTGCTTGCCATCATGGGCAGGGAGGACGCGGCATGCAAGAGACATATGCTTGCAGTATGCTAACAAAGAACCATCTAAAAGGAAACTTACTGTTTTTGTCTTTGTTGGATGTTCCTTTCAAAGCTTAGAAGTGCTATATCTAGATAAATTGCTGTGATAGCTTGGAACCAAAAAAAAAAAAAAAGCTAACATAAGTTTGAAATAATATCTGATCATTAGATTACATTCCTCTCTTGTACAGGACCATATTTTTATGGTTATTCATGAGCAGAGTCCTTATTAGCTTCAGTGGAAGTATTTGTGATGGACAGTGTTCAGATAGTGGACCTTGGTAGCTGATTCTTTGTGCTGAGGCACTCATATATTTGTGACTTGATGGAAGACCAGCTTCAGCACGAAGTTCCCCAAAGAGCAGTCAGGATGTAGCTGCAGAATAGGGTCCCCCAGAGAAAAGTCAGGTCCCAGTTAGGGTCATGAGTCCTTGCTCAGTCCCGGGTGATGGTCAGCATGATAATAGATTGCTTCTGATTGTTCAGATTTATTTAATTTTGTTTTTGTGTAAGTGTGTGGTAGGTAGAAGTAAAATCTTTTAGTGGGCCAACACGTATAGTTGGTAGAAACAATGAAACCTCAGCGCTGACACAGTTAACATCAAAGTGAACTGCAAAGTTAAGAACTATTGCTCAGGGTTTGAGTAGATATGCATCAGTTTGCTTATCTCTGAAAGAGAAGATGGCTGTTTCTCAAGGCAAGTGGAGCAGATTCCTGTAGCAGAATGATATGTGCAGGGGAGGGAGGAAGAAGAAAAAATGCTAAGCTGTTTCTGTCCTAAAAGAAAAAGCAAGACGGCTTATATCTTCTAGATATGGAGAGTTAGAGAAAAGTGGAAGGGAGATTATAACATGCCCTAAAACCAATATCTCTAGTAGATCTCATGCATCAACTTCTCAGCATGGTAACTGAGTTTCATGATTAAACAGATTTAGTACAGATGTGATGATGCTCATGATCCCCACCTCAGGGTGAATTTGTGTGCCCAAAAGCTCATCTGACTTTTCAAACTCTACCAGTTGATTGTATAAAAGATATGACTTCTACCTGCTAACTTCCATCTCTTTCACCTCAGTACTTAAGCCACCACATCTCCAGCAAAACGCGCCAGAGAATGAGTACTAACTTTTCTTCTGGTTTCCTAGAAGTAAAACTATACTCTAAGCACTATAACACTGTGAGTATTTTATAAGATTTATAAGATTGAAGATCCTCCAAGTGCAAAGTACAGTATAAATGCACAGTCCTCATGTTACAGCGTTGCGCTGTTAACAGGATAATTCTTCAGAGGCGGCTTGGAGAGCAATCCCACAGCCAGCTTTGGCAGCTGGGGCTATGTTTTGGGCCACACCGTTCAGCATTCCAGCACGTGTTTGAACATCTCCTGCTGAGCTAAACCAGCCCCAGCAGTGCTCTTATTTTGTTCTGATTAAAAACTTGCATCTGCAAGGTGCTAATGCTGCTGAAGAGACCTTAGACGTTGGTTGGTCCCCACCAGTGTAGCATTTCAGGTCTTCACAGGGTGTCTGTCAACCCCTTGGTGAAGTAGACAAGGACTATTCTTATTTGGGAAACATCCAAATACCAAGGCTATTTTTTCAGGATTACCAGAACTATGTCATCAACACAGAGTTAGTGGTGGTAGGAGACAGTTTGTGTGCTATTGGAACCAGCCGTTTCTTACTGAAACCACCGTCATTTTAGAATATGATTCCTAAACTCAATATATATAATATATATAGTCTGTATTTGAGCTGCATGCCTGATGAAAAGTTTCATATAGCAAAAATGCACTTGTGAGTCCTTCTGGAGACTGATGGGAAAGATCTTCTGGGAGACCTGGCAAGGGTAGCATACCCCAGGACCCTGTTCTGCCCATGTTTCCAGAATAAAATTTGACAAGTGGGAAATGTGATCTGTGCTTATACAGCTTGGTAACAAGCTTGTTCATAAAGCAAAATGCTTCATTAGCTTGGGAGGAAAAATGTGCCTTGCAAATGTAAGTAATCTTCTCTCTGCAGCTCTGTCATTTTGATCAGTTAGTGAACAGATCGTTTGGCTTGTAGTTGTCCACACATGAAGTGCTTGGCTAAAAAATTTAGTTTTCTTCCACAGATCTGTACTATAGCAGGCAGTGCTCCCAGCTGGTACATGTTGAGGGCACATGTCTACACCGAGGAGGTGTCCCTGGACAGAGTAGAGTGCTCATGACATTTTGGAGTGACTCTGACTAGCAGCTGGCATTCCCATCAGGAAGATTTGCTAGGGCCCATGTGCACCAAAAGGCTGAGCAGTATGCAGGGAGTGCACACAGATCTTCATGCACTTGTGCACCTAAGACAGCTGTACAGGCAAAGCTGCTAGAGACTTCTCAAGCTGCTGACTCACAGAAGTGACCTGGAGGCAGTCATGGATATTCTGTTATGTCAGATGGGTCATGCAGGCCTTTGGTAAAGCTGTAGAAACCACCTCATATGATGGTTCCATGACTGAGAAATACAGAAAATGCACTGTATGAAGGCTGCAAGGGCAGCTGGGCTCCGTGTCTATTCATGAGTATATACATGTATGTTGTATGGGATCCATCAGGGACTGTGAAGGGCCTTGCTGTATTCCCCATGTGAGTAGTGACCACAAAGCTTAAATTAGATGCTGCCTCAACAAACTTAGAGCTGCCTGGACTCAGTGGGAAATCCAGGCCAACTTGCCTTGCTATCAGTGAGAGGTGATCAGGAGTTCTCTTGAGAGGAAGATCTGAAGATCTTCCATTTCTCCTCTCCATCACACCTCACCTTCTCCATCAACAGAACAGGGGCCCAAGAAGTGTCAGGTGCCACTTGGGAGCCCTGTTCTGTTCGTGGCACCTGTTCTTTTATCTACTTTAGGTGACGGTTATGTGGTGGTGGTGGTCAGCAAAGTGCCCTTCCCAGTTGGAGGGGAGCTACCCTGAGTGGGAACCCTGCTCTTGCCTGCCCACACTTCTCCTGGTTCCAGTACTATTGAATAACTCAATATAGAGTAGGTCAGCTCCAACAGGCTGGAATTGGTGGCTCTCTTGTCTCATGAAGTGAAAGTTTAGTCCCTCATTTTCCCTCCAAGAGTAAGTATTGTCTCTTATATCTCTCACTTCTTGGGTGAGAGCTACCAGCAGGAAGGAGGGGAGCAGTTTGGAAGAGACTGGTCGGTCCCAGAGAGCACTAATTCAACGTGCCACTGACACGAAAGTAGAAATTGCGGCATGTCCTTTGAAGAACAGGGTTACAGTTTAAAACAATCTGGGCAAAATGAAAGGAATGTCTCCAATTCATGGGATGCATAAACGGAAACAGCAGGCTGGGGTATGTAAGCAGAGTTTCATCTTCTAAGAAACACAAAGCAGTGCTGCCATTCTGCTGCCTTAGTTGGAAAAGAGCAAGGCTTGGGTACCGCCCTCTGAGGAAGATGTGGACTAGTTGGAGAAAGTCCAGAGAAGCTCACTAGATCAGAGGATTAGAAAATATGAGTTATGAAGAAACAGTGAAAGAATCAGTTTGTTTAGTCTAGAGCAGAGAAGACGGAGGGAAGACATGATAATAGTCCTCAAATATGTGAAAGGATGCTTCAAAGACAGAGGGAACAAACTAGTTTCCATGTCTTCTGGGAGATAGCAGGGCACCGAAATAGGTTGTCAGAGAAGTCTCCATCTTTTACAGATCTTTAAGGATTGATAAGGCAAATACCTGTCAAAATTATTTTGACAAAGCTGGGGGGAGGGAGGGGAAATAGATGATCATTGTGTCCCCCAGACCCTCTGGTTCTGCTATTGGAAGTCCCCAGACCAGAAGGCTCTGCCCCTGACAGATGTCTCATTTCTTCAATTTCTTAACATTTGCTATTGCTAATAAACATCAGGCTTCTACACTGGGGCTAAAAAATTGATTTCTGAAAACATCACATACAAGATAGGAGGCAATCTTTGCTTCTTGGCTTCACCTACGGCAGGTAGTGTTATTTTCCCCAGCACACAGCCAAACATTAGTTCACGGATGTGCCTACACTTCCAAAAGATCTTGTGCCTTGGTGAGTTAAAAAAATCAAGAAAATCCTCTTGAAATAATTATGTTTGCCAGAGAATTGAATGTGTCTATCTGTTCAGGAAACTGCACAATATCAATGAAGTTTCTCAGTCAAGTCCTGTTCAGCTTAAGCTATTCGTGCAGCCTGTGCTAATTTAGTGAGAGTCCAGGTATCTGTTTTACTGTTAATCTACATTAATCAAGACGAATGGCTATGTACGTTGTCGGGTGGCAGGAAAATCTCCAGTGCAAACAGAAATCAGACAGGTTGGAGTGGCTCTGGAGGCTGCTGCATGGTTGAGGCTAAAAGTAGTCTCAGCCTGTTGATGTTAAATCTTTAGATGTAAAGGGAGCAAAAAAAAAAAAAGTACAATGTTTTCATCAAGGGCTGTAATGGTGACAGAAAGCAGCCACGCACCAACAAAAGGTCGTACCTCTTTGTAGCTGCCAGATCTACAAGCCTTATCTACGCTTGCTTTTATTGCCCCAGATTTTCCACCACTGCTGCCAGCAGAGACAGCGGTGGGAAGTCGGAGGCCTCATGTGAGCATCTCTAGGAGCAATCACACCTTGGACCAGACTTATCTGTTGAGGAGACAAAGAATGGGTATTCAAGGAGAGCAAAAGATGTCTTAAAACCTGCCTTCTCTGCCTGTTTCAGGATTGCTGGCGATACAGCACTCAACAAGAACATCCACGAGTCTGTCAGTGCTCAGATCCGGAAGAACTTTGCAAAAAGCAAATGGAGAGTAAGTGACCCATCCTCAGAGAAGATGCTTGGACACATAATTCTGCTACTTTGGCATCTGCACAGCCCTTACAGCATGTCAATGCTTTAAATGGAAAATTGCTTTTGTGGCCCAAAATTTTGGATATAATAGTTGGTCCCATCTTAGATTACATGGCTTTGCTGCTTATAGAGTGTGCTACATCATGTACATGAATGTAATGAGGACAAGAGATGGGGCCAGGACTAAGGAACCAGTGGTTGGAGAGCAGGGGACACAAAGCAATGGGGGCACCTGTGCATTGGTTCACGGAAGGATATGTCCCACATGAGAAGGGATTTTGGGGTACCACATCCCATCTGATGGGATAGGGAAAAGTTGGGATGATGATGGACTCCTCTACTTCTGCCAATCTAGAGTAACCAGGGGAATGGCGGAAGTTACACTTTCACCTCCACGTTTTAATTTTTCTTTCATTTTTTCCCCCCAGCAAGCGTTTAATGCCACGGCAGTCGTGCGACACATGCGGCGGTTACACCTCGGCAGCAGCCTGGACAGCACGAGCGCCAGCGTCTCGGGTACCCTCGGTCTCGCCGCGCCACTGTCTGATACAACCACCCGGAAAGATTGTGAGTAGGGGGGAGAAAATCTCTGGGAAATGCTTTTTCTCTCTGCCCCCAGGCTGCAGTCCTCGCTGCCAGCAGGTGTTTGAAATGAGGACCAAAAAGGGACTGAGGCTTTTGCGTTTAGCTGGCAAAAAAAAACAAAACAAAACAAACAAACAAAAATAATAATTCCATTGGAAATATTTATGCACTGAAAAACTGAATTTTCATCTCAGTGCATTTTTGGGAGATCCTCCTCTTGTGGGGCACAGAGGCTTTTGATTGGGAAAAAGACCCAGACAAACCCAGGAAAGAGTTATGTATGTGGCTGAAATCTGGCAGAGTTTAATCAAAATGTTTATGTTTAAGTTTCCAGTTCTGTGATAAAACTTTTTTTTTCCCATAAAAATTGGCTTGCTTAAATTTTCCTTGCTCCTGCCAGTCCATCCCAGCCTGGGCCAAAAGAAGCTCCTGTACAGGAGGGTCACTTGTCTGAGCAGAGCTGAGGCTCTGCACAGCACCACAGGGTCTGGGCCCCTGATTTGCTTGTTCCCTGCTGCAACTGAGATTTTCAAGCTGCCCGATAGAATCAGATGCTTGGGGTGAGTGAAGCCTATTTTTAATCTCTGGCTTCTGAGCATTTATTTTATTCCTTTCTGTCCATTGGTAGAGATTTTTATATCATGAAATGGAGGGACACAGACTTTACAACTTTACAGAAGAGATTATTTCAAGCTGCAGCACCACAAAGCTAGTAGCCTGTGATGTGGCTGAGCCCCTTCCCTTTGCATCCCAGGTCTGATGGTGATTCATGCAAGAAATTCTGACAAAAGCAGCTTCTGTCAGTGCCCAGCTGGTTTGCAATGCCCAGTGCAAAATCCTACAGGTGCTGCCAAAAAAGTTTCCCTGTGCTACTAGTATGCATCTGCCTCCTGCAAAGGAGCAATGCAGCCCTGACCAGCAGCAAAGCACTTTAGCCAGAAGCTTGCAATGCAGTGAGGTTGAAAACCCATTTCAGGGGAGAAATGCACCTTGGTTCCTGCCTGAGCTGGACCCCAGTTAGGTCTAGAGCATCTGGTGGGTGATTCATCTCCATCCATGCAGTTAATGGATGATCAATACCAGAAGGCGATAATTAATTGCACTGAGTAGTCTGAATAGTAATGGAAAAAATATCTGTGCACAACAAAGGTGGGAAGAGATTAAAGTCTATTTAATGGCTACAGCAAGTCCAGAATCCAGCAAGTCCCTGTGCAGGACCCGGCCCTGTTTTTGCAGTGATGGAGAAGTCAACCAGGATACGAAGGTTAAAACCAGGTGTGTTGAGAGGTGATTATTTTTTCATGTAAGAAATACGAGGCAGAAAAGTATCCATCTCCAAGCATCCCAGGTTAAGTCCAACAGAAGAGCTTGCCAACAAATACTGAAGAGCTTCCCTTTCGCAAAGAAATTAATTAAAGAGAAAAGTTAGGAAATGCTGGAGCCCCCAAGAGCCAGTGAGAAGAGCCAGAAACACATGCAAGGTGTGACATTAAGAGGCAGCTGACATGTCAGGCACAGCCCACTGAATGCCTCCTGTTGGGAAAAAGGAAACCTCTGAGGTCTCTGCCCTGCCTCTTTCTTTCTCCATCACCTCTGGAGACAGATTTCTTGCATGGGAAAGATCCCATCCATGCAGCCAGTTACATGAAACATCTGTGCCACCATTACAAAATGCAATCCTGCCTAATGCTATTAATAGTGCATTTAATGAGCTCTCCAAACAGTTTCAAATGCAGTAGTTTCACATCACTGAGGGCAATTAAATACAGCCCTAGCCCAAGAGGAGCTTATATCAGGCTTTATCCTAACTCTGTTCTTGTATTAAGCCAGAGAAGATGCATTAGGCTGGGTTATGCTTCCTGTCGGGATAGTCTAAGTGAATCCGTTGGGATTTCTCAAGTGGATTGCCCTGATTTTCAGTCTCCTGTGCCTGGCTTATTCTGTTTAGACATGGTTGGGCTGCCTAGATTGATTACAGAACCCAGATCTCTGTGTTTTTAAGGTAATGCATAAATTGCAGCATGAAGCCAGGGTGTCAGCTCTAAATGCTGCTGGGAAATGGGATATGGCTGGGCGTGGGTACAGGACAATCATCCCTGAGGCTGAAACATCACCTTCAAGCTTGGGAAAGTAGGCAAAAGTCACAGCAAGCATCAAAAAGATCCTGAGTATTCAAGGGACTGTACTCTAGATTGAGATATATTAATACAGTTTTTAGCCATCCTCTACTCACCAGGCTGGAAAAATGAACCGTATTTCTCATCACACCAAGCCTGCGTCTTCTCAGAGCAAGGTCACCACGCTGGGATCCCGCTCAGCAGCGCAGGGGCAGGTCACCTGTGGAAAGCTATGGCAAGGATAGATTTGAATGCTCAGCATGAATATTTTCTAAGGGAACTGCTGAGGTTGTGCTCGAATAGCCAAATCTGGAATCTGTCATTCCAAACCCAGCCTGCTTTGGGATTTTCAGGGGTTATTTGGAGGGCTGTGTTTTTTAGAGCTGTGATGGAGGGTTCGCTGGAAGTGGACACATTCTATAAATATTCCTATTTAGCTAAATCCCCATTTTTTCATTAAGAAAGCCTGTGAAAAGTCTTTGATTAGTTCAAAAGCAGCTGTCTGGGTAAAAATTGGGTCCAGACACTCAATCCACGTCTATCTACATCTCTTAGCTGGAAGTCCTGGAGACATAACAGCAAAGCCCGAGGTGACATAAGGTGTCGCTAGAATGATGTCCAGGTCACACAGATTTACCTTCTCTCTAGATTTACAGGAACTCACCAACGAGTTTGACCCACAGCACTTTTTTATCAGCAGCTTTGCAGGATGCCTGGGGAAATGTGCTTAGGTTGTCTGTTCATTTAGCTAGATGGCCGTGATGAGAAGTTTAATCACCTTTGAGGTGCCCATGAGGAAAATTACCTTCAGCAAGCACAATGCTGGAGGGATTTTTGAATCCCACAACTCTTTGTCTTCAACCCCAGAAACGTGGCTTCGGTCTGGCTGGACACATACCAAAGCCAGGAGCACCATCTCCAACATCGGTCCCCTCTGCTCTGGAGCAACACCCACATTCCCCCCTCCAAAAATAACACTTCTAACTCTGTTTCTGGCTTTCCTTTTAGGTATGTCTCCATCCACTCTCTGTAGTTTTGTTTCATCTGCTTCTTCAGGCGTTTCGGCAGTAGGAGGGGACCGGAGACCCAGACCCACCACAGTGACCACAGTGCACACAGGGAGCAAGTGAGAGCCCGGGCGGCCGGGGCTGAAGGACTAGAAGAAAGAAGATTTTTTTATGGCCATATTTTATACTGCAATTCTGAAATGTTTCATTTATCACAAACTGCAATGACTCCAGGGGGAACGGATCTAAGTCTCTGGTGCTGTACATATATATACATATATATAAATATATATATATATATGTGAGTCTAGCAATGTTCTAACTAATGAACACTCATTCTTTTCCCCAGTGATTTACTCTTTTCTCAGTGTAGGTAACAGTATATGTTGTATTATTTTTTTTTTCCATTAACTACAAACATCTCAACTGGATTATTTAAATAGAGATACTTTTCTGAGCATTATATATATATATATATTATTTTTTTTTCATTTAAGAAGTACTTCCAGTAATGTCCCTCCTCCCGGTTTGCTGGGGGATAAGCTGTTTCTGTAGGTAGGAGTTGATGTTAACTTGGCAACCCAGGAGGATTTCAATGGCATGCCATTTCTCAATCCTCAGACTGGACTGCAAGCCTGGCTGGCTTTAGCAGAGCTACTGCTGCTCCGAGTAAGAAACCACTGCTTTCCCTCCCCTCCTCCTCCTTGAAAGCCACAGGGAGAGTTCAGTCACCACCAGCCCCATTACCGCAGTGCTGGCAGCCTGCAGCACCCTTGTTGGAGAGGAGAGGCTGGCATGCGGTGCCTTTGAGGAGCAGACCAGGGCTGGGCAAGCGAAACAACTGAGCCTCATCCTGCAGCAGTTCCCTCCTTGGCAATCCCTTCCAGCCACCGCATGTGATGGGCAGAGTGAAATGATTTCTGCGTGACTCGGTTTCTGCCCCTGGGGGAGGGCTAATGCTTGTACCCCTCTGTAGAGCTCATAAACAAAAGCTAATTCAACATTTTTTTTTTGTTTTGTTTTTGTTTTAATTACTTAATAAATGCATTTCCCAGGCTACACATGCTGGTGCATGATTTGGGAACAGCCACCGTGTTGCATGTCCATGCACCCTGAAATAGAGAGGAGAGCAAATCTGCCCTCATTTGCCCAGCAGCCCCTGTTTATTTCTCTTGTACCCCAAACAGGCTCATCCCCACCCAGAGGCACAAGCCTTGTGCTCAATCACCATGTTCATGTCCTTTATCCTGCACAAAACTTTGTGTAAGGCAGTACAGGTGCAGCTGAACGGATCAGGCAATAGTGACTGTGCTGTGAAAAGCCCTAATTATTTGTCATCGAGACTTCAAACTCCTGCTTCAGCTTCACTTGGTTGGCTTTGACCAGCAGAGTTGGGATTTCATCCATCACAATTGGAGTGCCACTCCTTTGATGGCACTTGATAGAAGTCCAGTTTCCTTGCTCTTAAGCTATTCCCCATTTTCGGAGGGCTGCAGCACATCTGAATGAGCCTCTCTGCTGGGGACAGCCACCCATGCCTGCAGGGATTAGCAAAACCCATCAGATTTGGGCAGACCAAAGGTAAAGGGATGTCCTTGCTGAAAGCCATGCTCCTGTCCCACGCTCAGACCACTGTCACCATGAGATCATTGTCACCGTGACAAAGGTCGCTGAAAATTGTTATCGTACAATTTACCAATGCCAAGGCTACTTTATTTCACCAGCCTGAGGAATGAAGTTTAGTTTGGGAGACTCCTATCACAAGAGACTGGAGTTATTCTGCACCCACCTGATTTCATACGCTCAGCTCTGCTCCGGATGCATGTATGTACATGGGCAGTCCCCCAGCTTGGAGTCAGTGGAATTCCCACATTTATGCTCATGCCACCAGAAGCAGGATTTGTTTAGGGGATATTTTGGTCTTTGAACAATTGCTGCTAAGGTTGGGGCTCAAGCATTCCCTCTTTGCATTCCCTCTTTTCTGAAACGCGAGGTTTGATTTGAACTCAATGTAGTTGCTGAAGCTACTATGCAAAACATAACATTCAAATGTATCTTGCAGGAAAAAAAAAAAAAAAAGAAAAAGAAAAAAAAAGTAGAAGAAGAAAAAGGAAGTGAATGGATTTCCATCTGCAAACCAAAGAGCAGTGATGGGAGTAAAGGTGGATGTGTTGTCCTGTATTCAGGGGGTTCTTGTACACCAGCTGCCCTATATGCTCAATGTTTTCTGTGTTTTTTATTGAGGGGTATTTCTTCTTTCCAAACATGCAGTTCGCTTTTTTGTCCTTCCTGTACCTCGTATTCTGCCATAGCTGTGTAATTTATCATCGTTATTTTAAGTTTGTTATCAACCACTGGGATGTTAAGACGAGAAACAAGAACACTTAGAAGCAAAATTGTTTTTTTCTGGTACATTTTTTTGTGGTGGGAAGCTCTTCTTTTGGATCGGTGAGACACAGCTGGGGACCTGACCAGGTTCTCCATGCACATAGGGTAGAGGGATCTCATCACCAAGTCCCAAAATATCTCTTGGATAAAACTTAACTCTGACCAAATCTGTTAACTGGGATGGCTTAGCAGCACTTGGGATGAGTGTCTGGGGGCTGGAGCTGTTTGCCCCTGAGCAGCACAGCTTGGCAAGGCAAACACCCCAGCATCACCTGCCAGGGATGCTCCAGTGCCACTGTGAGTCCTTCCCCTGCACCAGTAAATGGTGTGTGCAGGTGGGGAAGGGGCTGATCGCCCAAAAGTAGAATGTTCAAAACAAACCAGACCTTGCCATGCCGGAGCAGGTAGAACAATCCTTCTGGGCTCTTTCCCAATGGGCCGTCCTACTAAACAAGCTGTGATTTACTCCCCGCACGAGGACTTCAGCCTGGGCTTACCTGTCTGTTTCCCTTTTCTGCTTTACTTGACTGGCACCGATGTGTTTTCCGTTTGTAACCTGTTTTCCTCAGCTCCTTCCCCTTCTTTTTCTTTGCTTGCAGCTTTGATTGTTGATTTTTACCTCCAGAGTCACAGAGGCCATCTTTGATGCCAACAGCAGAGTGCTCTTGCTGGGAAAATAAAACTAAAAATCCAGAAAACCTCCAGCTGGCCCCTTAGCCCGCAGAAGAAGGGTGAGGACAGGCTGCCCGTGAACTCTGCGAGCTGAAAGTCAGTGTTGCAGTGGCAGGGGCTTACGCTGCTGATTTTGCATGTGACTTCATTCCCAGTGCATCCTCACTGCCTGCTGGATCACCCCTTCTGCAGCACGGAGTGGACATGCCGCACGGGGGGAAGCAGGAGTACGGGGAAACCTGGCAGTGTTGCTTCCCTGAGACTGTGTTACCCTGCTGGTGATGTCTTTTCTGTCCTGGTTGCTCTTGTACAGGTGCCATTAGATTAGTGGGGTCAGAAAAAAAAATAATAATTGGATTTTACCTACTCCTCGTGTGTCTGTTTTGGTTGTGGCACTGAAATAAAACCAAGAAATGATGGAGGTTCATTCCTGAAATGAATTGAACCATGGAGATGGTTGTCTGCCCTCTGGTCATCATGTTCATGTAGTCTGCAATAGGCATTGGATTGGGTTTTGCTCTGTGCGTGTTCCCTGTATACCTCCATAGCTACCAACAGCATTTTTTCTGTAAGCAGTTCTCCTTCTTTCTGCTCAGCTCCAAGGAGCTCCAGAGCTTGCCCAGAACTATTTCCCAGCCCCAGGAGCCAACACAGCCAGAGGAATGCCCAAGAAGAACAGTGTCAGTGGCCCTGAGGCTACCCCTTCCTTAAAAACAAGCCTGGTTTTAGCAAAACAAGCCCCAAGGGAAAGCCAGACAATTTAGCCATTGGTGAGCAGGGAGAGTTTTGTCCTTCAATGTGAATTTGGAGTCAACTAGATAAGCTATAAGGAAAGCTCTGCTAACATTTCCCCCTAGGGTAACAGCTCAAGGTACGAGCAGTGCTAGCTAGATGAACTCTGCTTAAAAACACCAGTCCGACTTCACCAGTGAGTTCAGGCAGACAGTAGGCTGTTGCTTTTGGTCTTTGTAAAGAGCTGAGGGATTCATATACCTGAAAAAAAAAGAAGCTTCTAGCCTGAGCCCCAAGGTACAGAAGTATCTTTCCCTCAGCACATGGAAATTGCCATTTAATGGGATTACTTGTGTTCCTGCTCTTACTTGCATGTTGATCTGGTTGAACTGGAGCCTGGACGCATCCCTGAAATTATTCATGGGAAGGGAGTTTTGCCTTCATTGTCGTGCTTCTTTGCACCAGAAACTCGATGCTAAGAACCACACTCATTCAAGCAAAGAGCAGAAACATGCCCGGAGACTGCAGCATCCAATGCAAATAGCATCAAAACGGAGCACAGAGGACACGCTGGCAACGGCTGAGAGCAGGAACCTGCCCACAAGCACTGTGCAAACAGGGTTTCCCCTGGTACATTACTCATCCCCGATTTCTCGCCCAGCAGCAGTTTTATTCCATCCCTTTCATTTCCCCACCTTCCCTGCAGCTGGGTCCTGCCTGTCCACCCCTGCGTGCGTGTGTGTGTGTGCGTGCTCTGGCCCCAGGGATCACAGGTCCCACTGCTGGGAAATCAGGAGCTGGTTCAGGTTTTTTGGTCCAACGTTGTGCTGTTGGGTCAAAGCTGTGTACATAGTGTTTATAGCCGAGGATAAAGGCTTTTTATCCCAGACTCTGGTTTTCAAGACCCCTTCCCCACCTCGAAGCGTGCCACTGCTCTGTCCAGTTGGTTATTTTATTCCTCCTTTTCATAAACAGTAAGGTCAGAAGAGCAGCTCTTACATTTTTCCATGCCCCAGAGCAGAATCATGGCTTGTACACTCGCAAGCGCTGAACTAATGATGACACCAAAATGTCCAATAAATGCATGTTACTGCACTGCATGTATTAAACTGCTGTTCACTGTTTCTGTATTTCCCGAGCCTTTTCTTTATGCACATTCGATCCAGCCTTTTCTTCAAGGGGTTTCTTCTAGATTTTGCTTTTAAATGACTTAATGTATCTGTAACTTGAAATCCATCGTTAAGTTTGAGTAAATGCAAAAGCTGATGTTTTGTGAACAAGATACTGCAAAACCTGATAATGTATTTTGTCTTTCTGTGGAATGCTCCGCAGCATGTGCAGGAAGAGTCACCATCCAGAGCAGCTGAAAACTATGCAGCAGTCACGTACACACATCTAGAAACAGGGAGATGGGGAGGGTCCCCCTTTGAACATGATGTTAAAAGTTTGGCCTGCCTCTAAAATACCTTCCCTGGGTTGCTGATGCTCAGGGCTGCCAAAAAGCACGTCAGTGTGTCTCTTTAGGGTTGTTTTCTCTTTTTTTTTTTTTTGGTTCATTTTTCTTAGTGAAAACTTTGGCTGGTTTGCTCAATTCTTAGTATTTTTCTCTTAGGAGGTATTTCTTTCTTACCCGTTGCAGAATGAACTGCATTTTGTGGACCAAGATGCTGTGATTATTTGCCTGCATGAAATAGGGCAACGAGCTGAGCTAATTATACCATCATTCCTGAAACATCAAATACAGAAGCGCCTTCCCCAGCATCACCACATAAATACTTGCAGCCAGTCCTTCAGCCTCCATGTAGCCGTGCCACCATTTATCTGCAGAAGAGTTTGGCATGGTTCTTCCTCAACATGGGAAACATGGCCTTGCCTCGTCTTCCCTTAATCATTGATCCATTTTCATGTATGCTGGTCTTTCCGTGGCAGGGCAGGGTACGGGATGGCCACGTGTTGGTTTTAGCACATCTGGCCCAATCCTTTTGTGAGTGTTGGCAGGGCAATGGTCCCAGCTCCTCCATGGTGTGGAAGGTGTTCGTCTTCTCAAAGCTCAAAACAAAGACATCTGAAAGGGTTGGGTAGTGGGCTTGTGATTAGGGCACGCCAAGTAGAAGGTCTAGAGAGAAAGTGCTGTGTTGGTAGCATAGGGAGCAGGTATCAGTCCTTGGAAATTATATCAAGGTTTGTTCCATGGTGGCTGAAAGCACCAAGAAGTCCTGAGCCCACCTTCAAGGCTGGTGCTCGGTGAGGATGCCATGTCATCACCAAAGCACTGCCTGGCAGTGCAAAAATCATCATTAATGATAGTTGTAAATCAGCCCAAGTTCAGGTTGCTGAGGCAGCACATGGCAGGATGTTCCATGGAGAGGTGGACGTGTCCTGTGGTTCCCAGTGGCTGGGAGACCCTAGGAGGTGCTCAGGGCAGCCCTAAGTTTTCCATCTTTCATCTGCATCCTGCAAGTCCCGCCTAGTGTTGTGCATGCTGTGTCTTACCAGGCCAAGCTGTAGCATCACCCCCAAAGCAAAGAGCATGGAAGATCATACATAGCTCAGTGAGAGATGTGGTGTGACTCACATTTCTGGTCAACACAACATCAGCACCCTGTTGCTTATTGGCCTCTAGTTAAGAAACAGCATTTTGGTCAGTTTGGGCTTTTTTTTTTTTTTTTTTTTTTTTTTTTTTTTTTTTATAATAATAGAGAAATATTTGATTTGGGTCAGCAAACAACCAAACAAAGCCCAGTCTGCCCAGAGCAGTGACTCCCCAGTGACCTCAACTGCAAAACATCTCTTGGTCAACTTTTAACGAAAATGCAAGCATGTTTTCTACAAAGGCTTAAATCTTAATCAAGGAATGTCAGTGTGCCTAATATTGCAGGTCTTGTGATTGATACAAGTTCATAACAGCATCCATGTCCAAAAAGAAGGGAGAATGTGTATTTACTCCATGCATGTATTAAGGCATCGCAAAAGTTTTATCTGCATAATGAGTTTGCAATACTGCAAATTGTTAATGGGGCTACGTCGCAAGTGGTTCTCTGCCTTGACAATCATGTATACATATCGAGATTTCTATCATAATGAGAATTTAAAGGGATGACTAATTGTTTTCCTCCAATAAATCCAATTAAATCACCCTGATGTGAAGTGTGTTGTTTTTGAGTGCATGAGTCTCCACCTGTGTGCAAGAAAGGAAGTACATGTAAATAATTTCTATGGTGTCTTTGCTGTTTTATGCAATGACTTCCAAATGAGTGTTTTGGTTGTTTTTTTCCTCCCTAATTCACTCCATAAGGAAATGAATTAGAAGGAAATGAATGATTAGTCCACTAGTTGTTTCCTAAAATTTCTTTTGGAAGTGGTGCTGTATGGCAACACATGGAGACATAGCTATCTCTTGTGGGTATCCTGGTACTCTCCTGAGTGTCCATGTGGAGTTGGGATAAGCAGATGCAGTTGTTGGTGCACCTTTGAGCTGGTTCTGGTGGTTTACATGGCCTGTGGTGAGAATAATGAAAGGAGATGGGATCTTTGCTAATGTTTGGGTCACTCTGCAGTCAGCAGTAGTCTCCAAAAGTCGTTGTGTGCATTTCATTGTTGGCTTCCTTTTCCTCCAGACCATGTTGCTGGTGTGTGTTGACTTGCTATGTTCTTTTTTTTTTTTTAAACCTGATTCTTCATTTTCACCATTTTATTTCTGCATTTCTGGCTTTCCCTCATTGGCACACAAGAATTCCTTCCCCTTCGTCCCTCCTTTACAAATAGCTAGCAAAATCATTTTGCCCAGACAAGTATTGGGCACCCAGCAGGGAGGTGGGCCCATGCTTGGGGTTAAAGCCAGGTGGTTTTAGATATCAGGTTCCATAACAGAGCTGAAATGAACAGCAGTGATAATGGCCAACCCATAGCAATATAAAGAAAAAGTCGTATTACATAAATAGCTTTTATACTGCCAGTAAAGAAACAAGCACCAGAACCAGCCTGATTACTCTTTTAAAGCTGTGGTATGTGACTGTGGCCACAGAACTAGGATTAGATGATGGGCTCCACAACTTGTCATTGTGCTTCAGAAGAACACATCTATAGGAATTTACATCTTTGGAAAACTACATCTATGCAAAAAATTATCACAGGGAGTGGGATAGATTTGCAACAGCCACATTCTTGCCAGAGGGAAGGGGACCATCCTTGTTTTGAAGGCTTTCTGTGTGTTGGTATTCTCACATAAGATGCCACAGGGACATGCTGTTTCTATCACATTATGCTTTCTCCCAGCTCCAGACATATCCATTGCTGTGGGTATGTGTCCTGCCCAGCACATCCATGTCCTTAGTATGGCGGAGCCCTTCAACAAAGCCAAATTACTGTGATAATAACCAGTGTTGATCAATATGGGAGTGGAAAGGACCATCTGGATCAGCACTGCAAGCATTCAGCTGAGTATTTCCAGATTGTTTGCCATTTGGGCTTTCTGGATTACACTGGGATAAATTCCTGACTTCCAAGCTCTGTTTATTTAGCCTGAATACCACATTTTCTTTCTTTCTTTTTTTTTCTTTATAACTGCAACATTGTGATACAGTTACAGCCAATTAATGAGCTGTTTACCTTCTTCACAAAGTGTTTTGTTTAGGGAAATTAATAATAATAATAATAGAGCCGAGAAGTAATTTGTTGTTCACATCTAACTCATGAGCTTTGTGCTTTCCTTGGCGCCATATAGGCTCTTGTATGTTTTTCATTTCATTATTTGGGGCAGAAGCAAGAGCTGTGTTCACATCCTTACCTCAGCTTACAGTATAGCAGTGATCTGAAATGCTTCAAAAATCTCAAAGAAATGCTTCCTTTTGCTGGAGGCCAGCTGGGCAGGTAGCCTCAATTCTGAAAAGGCACACATCAGGTTTATACCTGAGCTGCTTCAGGTTTGTATTTGCTCAAAGTAGCACCTGGAATGTAACTTTCCTGATCCCTGATTCACTGCAGCTCAAAGAAACACCAGAGTAGATCAGATCCCCAAACAACTGCAGGGAAAAAATGTGCCACCAAAGTTATATTTACCCTGAGCCCAACCTGACCCTAAAGGGAGTTGATGAATAAACTCCCATCTCTATAGACAGAAAAGCACAGGTATGTGATGAACACACACTGAAGTGTGTATATATGTTATACCACTATAATAATTTATATCATATCATATCATTGGGGTTCTTTGGCCTAGAGAAGAGAAGGCTCCAGTGAGACCTTACTGCAGCCTTCCAATACATAAAGAGGGCCTACATAAAAGGTAGGGAGGGACTCTTTGTCAGGGAGATTAATGAAAGGACAAGGTGTAATGACTCTAAACTAAAAGAAGGTAGATTTAGATTAGACATCAGGAAGAACTTCTTCACTCAGAGGGCGGTGAGGCCCTGGCCCAGGCTGCCCAGAGGAGCTGTGGCTGCCCCATCCCTGGACCAAGGTCAGGCTGGATGGGGCTTTGGGCAGCCTGGGCTGCTGAGAGGTGTCCCTGCCCATGGCAGGGGGTTTGGAACCTGATGATGGTCAGCAGAAGCTTTTCACCAACCTGAACAGTCCTTTGGCACCTCAGTATATCCTCTCCACTGCTGGAAGATCTTGTATCAGATCTTGCCAGCTTTATCTTAGCTCTCTCAGAGCCAAGATCCCAGCATTATTTTCCTGCACTCACTGCCTGAATTCTGAGGACAATGTTTAAATTCACAGCCACCAAATGTGCCAACATCAGAGTCCGCTGTTGAGTCAGATGATGATCACAGTGGAAGCCTGTGTTGGAGAAATTCTAATTTTTCTCCCTTCCTAAGTACTTACATGATTCCTAAAGCACTTTTCTGGGATTTTGAGACATTACAAATAACAAAATTGCTGAGAGGTTGGAAGGGACTTCTAGAAGTCATCTGGTCCTATCCCCCTGCTGAAGCAGGGTCACCTACAGCAGGCTGCCCAGGACACATCCAGCATCCAGGTGACATTTATTCAACTCCAAGGAGAATCCACCACCCCTCTGGTCAAGAGCTTCACCAGTCCGGAGCAACAGACTGCAGAGTTGACTGAATCTTCACTATCAGGTCCAGATAATGTAGAAGTTAGTTAAAGATCCCAAGGAACAAAGAAATAGATTTTCAACCTTTGCACTATGTTTTCCTTTTTTTCTCAGAGAAGATGAGTCTCTGTGCAAATATGTGTTAATACATAGGTACTCAAAATGCTTTTCTGAAGGACAACTTGCCATGGTGCTGGTCAGAGGATCATTCCCGGTTGAAAAGTCATATTATGCAGCAAGTGCAATGTCCTTGATTGTACCAAAAGTTCATGTTAAATCTGGGCAGAAACGACTTTTCAGCAGCTCAGCTGGAAGAAAGGCAAAGACCTTCAAGAAAGAGCCAACAGTTGCACTAAAGAAGGATTTGTTAGCAGGACACCAGGGGACTTAGCTTAGCAAAGGAGGTGGTGACTGACTGATGAGATGATTCAGCTCCAAATGTTTCTAAACAGATGGGCAGGTTGCAGACAGATGCACAGGGTCCAAGCACCTGTGCCTGAAAGTCACCATGCCCAGGGCTACATGGTCACTTCAAGGCCAAGGAGAGCTGTATGACAATGCTTCCCAGCTGACTGATCAACCTGTACCAGGCTGTGCCCATCACCACTAGGTTGGTTGTAATAAGATGAGCTGGGGACATGAACTGGAAAGTATGTAATTTTTTTAATTCTCCCAAGGCAATGTTAATACAGTAACTCTGCATCATCCTCATAAATTGTTTTGATTATCTGTGGTCTTATGGTGATGATTTAAACCTTTTGATTTACTGATTCAGTCTTAATTGGGTCCTGAATTGGGTTATTGCATCATTTTGTCTTTAATTGCTTTAGTGAAAGTCTAGTAAATTAGGCTGGTAATATGCTTGCTTAGAGGGATTTTTGTCTGTTCATGCTTCTTAATAAAATCCATAAAAAGTTAAAAAGGAACAAGCTTATCCTACTGAATTGCCACTTGTATCATGGAGTCTGAAGCTCGGAAAATCAGTCTACAGTGCCTTTGTCTCTTCATCCAAATACATGTCCTCAGAGTGAGAAAAAATAGAAGCAAACATCCCCACAGCAAAGGGGTGAGTGGAAGAAAATGGTAAAATGTGAGTTTAAAGCCTAGGTTCCAGTTCCTGCTTTCTGGACTTCCTTTGACTTTGCATGCAAGTTATTTAGGAGAAAACCTAAAAAATGTACTTAAGATTCCAAAAATGAACTACAGCCCATGGCTAGAATACACCCTGAGAATCCTTCCTGTCTTGGGAGATCAAATCTCTGTTTTGTTTTGGTTTGTTTGTTTGTTTGCTTGCTTGCTTGTTTTTGTTGGTGGTGGTGTTTTGTGTTTTGTGTTTTTTAATTATTATTTTGAGGTCTTTTGTCATGTCCCAGATTTTTTTTCTCATCCCCATTCTAGCAGCTCGGTGTCCAGATGAACATCTAGGTGGAGGCACAGGCAGCACCTGTGAGAAGGATCACCATCTGCAAGAGGAAGTTTTGGCCACCGTGGCTGCCCTACATGACTGCTAGGTGCTGCCCGTTGCTGCACAGGTCTTCACAACCTCTTCCCTGCTGGATTTCCAGCAAGACTGCTGCATCCGCAGTGCATTTTCTACCCATCGCTAATGAGCTCTGTGCTGACAATGCTGCCTGTAACTTCTTACAGCTTCAAACCCACTGTTTTATAGCTGGAAATATGCTGCTTCCTCCCATTCCATCAGTAAAGACCATGCATTGCATCTTGTTTGACAGTGGTTCCTGCTGCAGAGAAAATATTACTTCCCATCTACAACCCTGCTTTACATTATTTCCCCTCAACATCTCTGCTCCTACACCCCAAAGCCTGCTTCTATAAAGACTAAAAAGAATCTGCTCCAAAGATAAAGTTGTGAAACCAAAGAAAATCTGCAGTTAATTAAAAATGGCAAGAACTAAGCACAGAACAAATGAGGATATAAAGTTCGGATCAGCTTGATCCCCAGCGTGACGATGCATTTTATTTTATCCATTTAGCAGAAGAGAGATTTTTGTCTTCACACAGGCTACGGAGACATGGCTGGAAAACTTCCACTGTCTTTAATTAAAACAGTGTGATTA